TTTTTGATTTATAGTTCTCTCATATGTATTGATCATGAACAAGTTGTTTTGACCCACGTTCACTTATAACATATTTTAAAGGCATTCTTAAAAATAAATGTATAAAAATTATAAATGATATACAGAAATAATATTAATATTTACCTTTATCAGGAATTCTCAATTTATAATGATTAAATTATGGGAAGAAATTATAAAGATTAAATTATGGAAGGAATAGAAAAAAAATAAAGTTTTTTACTAACTTTTAAAATGGAAGAAAAAAAATTTCAAGATAAAATATAATTCTATTTATTAATTTTTTGTCAATAGTTAGGCGGAAAAAATAAAAAAAAGAAGATTTGGATTTTATGATTTTTAGAATATAAACTTTTATTTTTATTGTTGAGAAAAATAATGATTGAATTCTTTAAAATTGTAGAACAAAAAGAGAAAATCCCAAAGTAAAATATAATTATATTTATTTTTTTGTTGTCTAAAATTAGGCATGAAAAGGGGATTTAAGATTAACATTATAGTACTTATCAGGGGGGTATTTTGGGTCTATTTTTGAAAACGGTTGATTAATATTGTAGCCAAAATAATATATAAGATTAGAGATAGTAGTCATATCTTTCTTTTTTTTTTCTTCCTTCTATGCGCAAAATCTCCAGGCTTACATAATATTGGCTACTAATCAACATATCTTATAATGTGGTAAGTTGGTCCATTAAAGAAATAGGTATAAATATTAGTTAATTTTTTTCGATATTACACATTTAGTAAATAAAATTGAGATTTTTGTAAAAATAAATATGAAGAAATAATTAATAATACCAACATTCAAAATGACTTCTATTTAATCATCCTTATATTTTTATACTAGGTAATTTAAAATAAAACTGTAATAGATACGCGCCGAATTGACGCTTCGCCGAATTGTCGTGCGCTGAATTGACGCTGCGCCGAATTGAAGTGGAACCATAAGTGATAAATTTAAAAAAATGTAAGAAATATTTAAAATTTTTATAGGATAACACAAGGATGAAATGTTTAAATAAATTTTAACTTTTTGCTAAAATTTAAAATAAAATATAAAATAGAAATATACTTTGCAATTCACAATTCATGAAAATCTTTTATATTTTTTCAAAAACTTTGATACGGTTCTAAACAAGGATTAGGGGAAATGTGCCATGAATGGCCATGTTTTTGCTTTTTTGAAAAAAAGATAATAAAATTTATTTTTAACCAAACAAATTTTATATCAGTGTGTAGCCTAAATATTAATCTTTAAAATAAAATTTGAATCAAAGCTCTATGTAAAATACTTTATGAGTTAACTGAGATTATATGAAAGTTGTTTTTATCGCCAGTCAATACGTATTGGCTATATACTATGTGTTAACTGGTTATAATATATTATTTAAGAATTTTATTATAAATATGAAATAATACAATATGAAATACTTATAAAAGACCTATATTAATATTTCTACATTTTTTAGTTATATAAAAAATTAATTATACACTAATTTAATTAGTATTAAAATCTCAATTTATTACCACATTTAATGATGATATTATAAATTAATATCTTAATTATCATTTTACTAAACATTCTTAAGCTTGTTCATCATTTTATTTCACCAAATGTTGTTTTGCAAGAGCTTTTCATTTTAATATGAATATGTGAATGTGCGAATTGTGACCAATCAATACATGGTCAGTCAATACTCACCCCTCTATTATTATTAAGCGCCTTTATATGTCTATTAAATAAAACTTTTAAGGTCTAATTTTTTGTGTGAATAATGCTATATGCCTAAGGATAATATTTATATAAAACAGTAATCTAAATTAGTAATCTTTTCACCAAACAAAAAAATGTGTAAAGTGATTTTTCCAGAAAGAGGTACTAAGTTTATTTGAAATATTTTTTATTGAATTGCTCTATTCAATAAATGAACTTAGGTATAGTACATATCATAAATATACACATTTTGACCATATATGAGAGAAATTGGTCCAATAGATAAATAGTTAAAGGGTGGTGGCCAGTCTTCCCATATTGTTCAGGAGAAGCGCCTTTTATAAACACATCACCCATATAATAAAACAGGCCTTCCAAATATATAAAACGGAAGCCATGGTGCTCTGAAAAATATGTGGGTGCTGCAAAAAGTAAATAGTAGTCATAAATTACCTATGTACATCCTCTTTTTCGAGGTAATTGTAAATACACGGAAGAGAAGTCAACTTTGTAACTAAAATCTCCTCAATTCTGGGAAGGGGTAACCTCCTTAACCCAAGGTTCAAAAATGACACAAAATTCGGCTCGCGGCATTAACTTAAGGAAACAAATATAAATGAACATGTATATATTTAATATCATTTTACTGGAAATGTCCATAAGTGTCAATTTCAAACTGATACCTACATAAAGGATATATTTCACAACCCATTAATCCTCCAGCTATTAGGAATTCATATTCAATCGTTTTTGATTTAATCTTAAATTATATCGAAATATTTTAGAAGTAATTTTTTAAAAATCTATCTTATTTACCAGGAGGGACGCATCATCTATGGATAGATCATGCCTGACGAAAAGATAGGACGTATGACTATATTCTTTATTAAAGATGTAAAAGTTGAATTTATTAGTTTTATTAATATTATTCGGAATTTTAAAATTTTTAAGAACCAAAATAATCTTTTAAAAAATATTCAGAACTGAAAAGGACACATTTGTTAGTACAGATTTCAACTTTGATGCTACTACTGTTAATAAAACAGTTATTTATTTTAGAATCTTAGAAATTTATATTTATAATTGTGTGAGACATAGGCGTAGCAAGATAGGGGATATTGTCTACCTCCCTCTAAAGATTTTCCTAGAAATTTGCCGATTAATTTTTTTTTCAGAGTATTTATACCTCCCTGGGGTGAATTCCCTCTCTTCTTCTATTTTTTACATATATATTTTATCATAGACGCATGTTTGTAAATTCTTTTCTTAGTTTTAAAGAAACCATATAAATTTAAATTAAATAAACAGTATAGGCGGTTTTTTCAATATTCAAAAAATTGAAATATTTGTACTCTTTTTGTTTTTAAAAACTCAAAACAAAAACTCCAAATTGGTTCTCAGTAAAATATATTTATAAATAATGCTTAATATTTTTAAATAAAAGTATTTAAAAGAATATTAATTTGCTTAATTATTTTATCTCCTTCTGCCAGGGGTAAAAAAAATTAAAAATTATTTTTTACAATTCAAATTTGATTTGCATATTTTTCATTTAAAAAATATGAAAATAACTATAAATCCTAAATATCTCTCCTTAAAATAGTTTTTCTGGTTAATTAATTTTACAAGATAATTTTTTATATAGATAATATTTTTTAAATAATTTTTTTAAAAACAATTTTATAAAAAAAATGAAAACGAATGAAGAGTATTTTCATATAATTGAAAATTAAAATAATGTGTTTAAAAAATTGGAACCGATGGTATTTATGCTAAGTATAGTGATGCAATTAGAGAGCACACCTATAAGAATATCTTCATTTAAGCTCACTCTCTTGACGAAAAATATCGTCCTTAATTTACCTTTTAATATTTAAAAAAATCTCATTTTAATTTAAGAAAATTTAAAATATATTTATAAGAAATATTATTTTTCTATAGATGGAGCTAAATATTCCCTCCATTAATTTTTTTTTATCTAAAAAATAAAAATTATAAAATTTTATTAAAATCTGTTAAATTAATTAAAAAAAAATTTTTTAAATTTTAAAATGCTATAAAAAAGAGTTGAATGAATTCTACAAATGTGTATATTTAAGATTCTTGAAAAAAATTTTATTAAAAATATGAAAAAAAATAAATGAAAACCAAAGAAAAAACAAATGAAAACCAAAGAAAAAACAAATGAAAACCAAAGAAAAAACAAATGAAAACCAAAGAAAAAACAAATGAAAATAAAAAAGGAAAGTAGATGGAATGGAATAGAATAGAAACAAAAAAATAGATAAAAATAAATAAGAAAAACAAATTAAAATAAATTAATTGAAAGATAAGAGAAAAAAAAATAGAAATAGATATATTATTTTGTTGTACATTATAATTGGTAAATAATTAATATCCAGAATATTTTAAACCTCAATAAAATTTCCTCCTTCCTTCCATCGTTCTTTCTTTTCTTGCAATTGTTTTTTAATTCTATATTTTTCTACTTTTTTTATTTTAAATCGGCTTCCTATTATTATTCCATATTTAAATAAGAAATAATTTAACATAAAAATTATTTATTTTTTATTATTTTTTAGCCAGGCATGGGATTGGATCGGATCTACGGATCATTAATCCCCAAAATATAAATAAATTCAAAAGCATTTTAAGCATTTGTTATCTCTATTTTCTTCATAGATTTTATTTTTATAAAAATTGAACTTTTTTATTTAAAAAATTATTTTTGATATAAAATTTTTAATGAACCTTTTTTTATAATTTTTTCCAAAAAATAAATATTTTTTGTGATATTTTACAAGTAAAATTCATTGGATTCATTTTTGAAAAAAATATCTATAAAATTCTTCGAAACTTATTTATACAAGATAGAACACATTTAAATATTGAAAAATCCATAGCAAGCCAATCTAATTAAAATCACAAAAATAAATTTCGACGCCTTTAACAGTAATAAGTAGACCATTAAACTATTGGAAATAGTTAGAAAATCACATAAAAAAAATAAATAAAATTATTCGATATTCAATGTAAGAAAACAAAGTTTAGTATTGAAAATCATACAAAACCAACCTTTAAACATTATTTAATTATAATTTGATACATTTACCAGCTTTTAACCATCGAAAAATCTTTAAAATAAACAAACTATTTTGCAATTTTACCACCAAACAATTACAACAGTTATTAGAACATTGGAAAAGTTTGAAAAAATTTCCTTGATAATTTTTATTTAAAAAAAATCACACTGATTAATAAATGACAAATTCGTGGTTTGTCATTTTTGGCGCTTTTCTGATAATGACTCAAATATTGCGCGGAAATCTTTTTGTGCGGGGAATTAATGTCAACCTATTTGGCAACAGTGAGGAAGAAGAAAACGAAAGTAAAAAAAAATAGTAGAAATAGAAAGTCTGACTGATTCCCAATGTTATTAAATTTATAAGAAATTATTATGTTTAAAAATTTTTTTAACAAATTTTTTTGAAATTGTATAATATAAGATATGCACAGATTAACAGATCAAAGAATTTCTTTAATCGTGTTTTTGTTGTAATAAAATTGGCAGAAAATTTTTACTAAGAGTTCATGATGCGAATTACGGTAGAATGATCTAAAATGAATAGAGAGGTGTGTATCAATAAATTTTAGACTGTGTTCAAAACTTTAAAAAAGATAATTGACAATATTCATAGACTTTAATTAAACCCGAATTTCAATTTTTTTTTTCCCCTTTCTATTTCTAAAATTTTGATCATTTTACTGCTCAGCCCGAATTTTATGGTATATATAGTAAATAAGGAATCAGCATTTCACGACCAAAAGGGCCGGTCAAAAATGTTAATTTCGGCTCGGTCACAGAAGTTTTAGTCGAAAAATATTTTGCATGGGTTGCCCGTCCCGAGATTTTGCCGGACCTGCAAATATCTGTTAAGGATTTTTATAAATAATTGAATTATAATATGAGTTTCGCTCAGATTTGTAATTTTTTTCATTTTTAAGCCGGATCAAATTTTTATAATTAAAAATACGTTTTTTTCAATTGAGAAATAAAAACATTTCCAAAATTTTTCTACCATTTTTTTAATTTGTAAAAGTGTGAAAATATTATCAATTTTATTTTCGAGTTTTAACGAGAGCACAAAATATTATTTTTTTAATGCTTTATTCACATTTTTGTCGCCTCATAAACGTATAAATGAATGATTTATTTATTTTTTTAAGATTATTTTTTATTTGAATCAGATATTTTTCCTATACTTTTTTTAGATTAAATATTAAATTTTTTTCCCCTTCATTTCTTGATATATTATTAAAAGTCTGAAAATATACTTCTAAAAAATGATGAATTAGTACTTTAGTTTAATTAAAAAACAAAGTTTAAAAGTATAAAATATACAATTGCTTCAATTTATTCCTTATTTTTTAAATATAACGAGTAGTAACACCATAATATGGCTTTCATAAATCGCAAATAATACATTTCGAAATGTAATAAATATTTTAAGATTTTGCATAAATATAAAAACATTTTTTAAAATTTAAAAAATCGGCCCTGCCTCCTTAATTTAAACAATGTTGTATACGTTTTTTTTAATCGCACATTTTGGAACCACTATGTTTAAGTTTGCTAGTTTGACATGTATGAATCAATAAACGAATAAATAATTTTGTAACTTTATATTCTTCTTAAAAGGGGTTACTAATAACAATAATTCGCATCGTCAACCATTTTATTACCAGTCTTCCATTCATGAAATGGGCCAAAGTAACCAGATAAACAACAATAAACAAATAATTAATAACTTAGACCAAAGTAAACATAATACTGATGAAGACAATCATAAAAGTAAACAAGGAGGAGGAAATGTTGATCTCTTAAAAATTTACAATTTCCCTTCAGGCCCTATAGGTAATTAATTTATTAAATATTCAATTCGCAACTTCTTGTCTATTTTTCTTCATACATTTCTTCAATATACTCAAATATTATCTTTATTTAATTTCCTATAGTCCATTCTATTCTATCTGTATGTTTATATTCATAAACTTTATTTTGTTCCTATTCTTTTAATTTATCGGCATTTCATTTCTTCTATTTTCTATGTTCGTCATTCTATTTCATTTTGTTCATTTCTTTATTATTTATTTCACTTTTTTTAAAAAAAAATTCGTTCTATTTGTATATTTTTTACATTCAATTAATTTATCTTCACATTCCCTTTTTTCCCATTTTCTTCATTCCATTTATTTTTTTCCTTCTTAAAGATCATTTCATTACTTGAATAATATAACTATATAAATATTTTAAATGGGTAAAGCCGAAATGCGAAACCTTGATAAATTTCCTAACCGTAACCTGAAAGGGGAATGAACTGTTAAAAGTACTTTTGAACCTGTTTAAACTTCTTCATACAACTGTTTATGAAGTCATATATATTTATTTTAAATGATTGGCATATTTTAAAATATTTCGAAAAATGAATAGTATATAAATTTATATGTGTTATCTTATATTACTCAGTAGCTTCCCTCAAGGCGTACTTTTGGGGCCTCAAGTCCTGTCAAAATTTTGGAGAGCTCCGGCAAAATTTATATATAATACACATCTAAATTTTGCAATATTAACATTTTTAGAAGCCCTCCCCCTTCCGACTTTAATTATTTTTTATCTATCAAACAATTTTTTCTTTGAGTCAAGTTGGAAGACCAGTTATCACTTATAGCTTTTTTAGTCATATAGTGTCCTTTTTAAAAACATAGTGTCATTTTTCAATATTAATAAGATTCGTAACATGGTAATATTTTAAACTTACTTCTAGAAGGAAAAATTTATAAAAATTTTAATTTAATATTAATATTTATGTATACACAATAATCAGCAAATAATGATATATATCACCCGCCAGATTCTATTGCAACTACAGATATCTGGGGAATTCCTTATAAGAAGTCATTATGGACTACTACATCTAGCCTACCCCTTCATATCAAATCAAAATTAGCAAAAAAAGGAAAATCTAAATAAAAACTTCCTCTAACCCTCTTCTATTTTATTCAAGACGATAGCATCTTCATAACTTATTTTCAATGACAATCTTGTTTCATGCCCCCCCCCCCCTGTGTAGGATAATTTCTTTAATTCATATATAATAGAATCATGTCTATCTATTAATTTGGATTATTAAAATTAAAAAAGTTGAGATACTCTTGTATCGCGCATTCGCAAATGTGATGAAAGGTCATCCTTCTGGAGTCAGGAACGGTTTAGAGCCAAACATGCAATGGGGCAAGCAAAGTGTATTGCTATATTATAAGCTAAACTTGATATTAATATCAGGGTACAATTTATCTGGAACTCAAGCTAATTTTTTTAATAAATGTCATTGGAAAATCTGTTATTCATCATAAATTTAGGAAAACATTGGTTAAATTCTGATTGGCGATAAAAATTTAGCTCATCTCAGAACAATAGAAGCGATTAAATAAACATTCATGGCTATAATATTCTATTTTGGGAATTCAAAAAAATAGGGATATCATATAGCTAAGGAAATATTACAAATTAGGGTTATTTTTAAAAAATTGTTATCTTAATGTTTTAATGTTAGGTAATAAAAAATCAGATGGTGTCGAAAGCATTGCCTGTTTTTAAGCAATAATTTAATCATCAGAACTAAGATATGATTCTTCTTTTTCCTTATATGAAATTATATATTTCTGTAGTTTATACAATACCATACTCAGTTTAGGAAGAGAAAACGATCTTCCATATGGAATAACCAGTGGATGATATCGTTTCCTCCTATTCATCTGAACAAAAAATCTACATATATATTATCATTATTCCATTTTGAATAATTCCCGTATACAGATCCTCCGGACTAAAATACCAAACATAATTAATCATGGAAAACCTCCGTACATAAATTCCCCAGATATTACAAATCTTCGAGATTGGCAACAACAAAAAATAACAATTTATACTACAACTAAATATTATTAAATCATATTAACACTAGTTCATATCTGGCTTTCATTTAAACTAACCATCTTGTCCAGGATGTTGGTCTTTAATCCAGATCTGTAATCTTTGAATCATATCTGCCACTTGCAATTTGATAATTTTTTTGCAACATCAATTTAATATAAAATATGATATTAAACGTTTTGGAGAATTTAGAGAATTTCTGTCTGAATTGTCCAAATAATATTTTGAAATTGCTTTAATAAATATATATTAAGTTATAATGAATGAAATACTAAAAATCCTGTTTCATTAATAAATTTTATAAAAATAAACAATTGAAATATATTTATTCGCTCTTATATAATGTTTTCATATATATTTTTTGGCAATTCTTTTGTTTAATATATTTTTAAAAGTAATTTATATTTTAGCAAAAAGATAATATCCATTTTAGCGTAAAAATAGCCCCTCTAATTGAATTTATAAACATATTTTAAATATATATTTCGATATTAATTGGCCATTTTAGAGTATTTCCTCATATTTGACTAGGTTGAATACTTGTTCTGTCGATTGGTCTGATTTTGCCGGTCAATTGATCGTCTACATGTCAACCCGGGTTAAAATACCAATTTTTAATAAATATTTTGACTTATTCTAAAATTATTCTAATTTACACGTTGTTTAAGAAATCGAAATTCATCAAAATATTTTCAAACTCGGTATTAATGGCATTATCAATTAAATACATTATTTTGATGATATTCATATCACCTGAATAAGATTATTATAATGGGTGTAACAAAAATAATATTAAAAGAACGGTATACTCTCATAAACTAGTACATATTATTTCTTAAAATTTCTAAATAAATTCTTTGATAAAAAAAATGATTATAATGTTTTTAAATATAAAATATCTTGTCATCAGTATCTAGATAATTGCTTAAAAATTTGATAGGGGGCTACAACTTTTTTTATATATTATTTAAAATATGATTCGATGATATCTAATCAAAAAAAAATTCCATAAATCTTTCATTTCTTCTTCTTCGGGTTCTATATCAGAAATCCATTCTGATATCGAAGACTCATTAAATTAATATTTTTGAACATCAAATTTAACAAATATTTGCACTTACACTCGCTCGATTATCTACCATGATCAAATTCATAAGATGAAAGTCCCTTTCACACTCGGCAATACTCCGTGATAAAGTATCCACGCATTTAAGGAATTTTTAAATTTTTCATTAGGAGTATCTCATCGATATCTTGTCGAAGTCCAGCAATCGTTTCATAGTTATTTAATTTGAATCTTTTTGTTTGCTTCTCACAATTACATATATAGGTTCCTAGGGCCAATGCTATAGTAATCGTTGCTTGGATGGGAATGTTTACTAGTTATTTTAGCTATATACGAATTAGATGTTTGCCCCTTATCTTCAATTTGATTCTCTCAGCTTTCTATCATGCTCTATAAGTTTTAAATGTCAAATTAAAAATTGTAATGATGTAATAGAATTCGAATTTAAATATTCTGAATAATATATGAAATCTCGGATCAAGTAGTCGCTAATATCAAATGTTCAAAATATTTTAAATAAATTTTATGCCCAACTTGTGTACCCGGATTTAGAGCTGGGGCCGGACCTGTAAGTCTCTAATATAAATATAATTAAATCGCATATTAAAATTTAAAAAAGCCGCACCGCCACCATAACTATTTTTATAACAACACTAAAGAGAAAAATGATTCAAATTTAACACTTTTGAAAAATTATTTAAAGTATTTTGGGGCTGCTCAGTTCTTCCTCAACATTTGAAGAATTTTTTTAAAAATATGGGGGGAGGGGCTGTTTACATTGATATTTATTATCAAAATACAAATTGAACTAATTAAGTGTTGGATAATGTTGGATATTATGTATATATTTATGATTATAATGCAAATATGAACAAATGATCCCAGTTAATAATTGGCATTTTGGCAATCCAGTAGGATAATATATTTTTATGTGGAATTGTCTTACACAATATATTTATAATTAACTTGGTATGAAACTCTACCTTTATGTGTGATCAAATTAAATGTAATAAATTTAGAATATTAATATATCGATATATTTATCTAGTTCTAGTCTAAATTTTAAATAGATTTAGGAAGAAAAAAACTAATAGAATTGAACATAATATTTAATATTTTTATATAATTTTTATAAGGATGCCTATAAAAAAAGTGAAGTCCGTCTAACTGGTAGAAGTTAAGGCACTTCTACTAGTGAGGGGGGGGGGGGGTTATGACGCAAGATTGCCATAATTAGAGGGAGGGAGGGAGGGAGGGAGGGAGGGAGGTCTTTATGAAAACGCTTCTTTATTTGGATAAAATTGTAAAGAGCAGGGGAGTCCTTTATTTTTTCCTAATTTTGATCTGTGTCTCATTTTTGTACTCCTGATTTGGATTTCCTTTTTTTTTAATAATTTTAATTTTGTGGGAGGATGGGAGTAGTAGGGGAATTATTAAATTTGGCAGGGTTAGGTGGTAAAAAAAATTTATCGGTTAGCATTGTAATGACTTAATGAGATATATTAAGTCCCTGAAAGCCAGTAACGCCCCTGTTTATTCAATTTTATTCTTATTCTTTTTTTATTATCAAAAGGTGTAAGCCCACCTAGACCAGGTTTTTGTATATCTAAAGATGCTTCCCTTGTTCCACTGACAACTGATGACATTAATCTGTCGAATAATCTCAATGAAGAAAAGTTTTTATCTTATCTCATAGATACGAGTGCTCAACTAAGCCTTAATGCTCACCATGTTTGGAAAGGTTAACAAAAATTTAATTAAAATAAAAGAATAGAAAAATAATTTTTAAAAAAACGAAAAGAAATAGAAAACAAAAAAATTAATTTTTTTAAAAGAATTTCCAAGGGACTTTTCCATTATTCTAAGTCTCAAACCAAATTTCCGGCTTGATGTTAATCAACAATACGTCGATCAGGGTGTCAATCAAGAAAGCCAAATTCTTAAAAGTGGCCGAATGACTATTTTAACATTGTATGACGAGTTTGATAGTGAACAGCTTATCCTGCGGGTAACAGCGTCTAACCTAATCCAAGTCCTATACAACGATTTTGGAATGAAAGACGGAAAAGGGGTTGGCAAGAGTGAAGAAGGCGGCATAAGAAATGAAAGGAACGAAAGAAATAATACCGTCGAATTCGAGATGGGCATCAATGACAATGAGTAATTATTTTATTGATATAAAAAGCTCTATCTAGAAAACCAGAAACATTGTTCAATAGGCTAAAGTTAAACCAAGAGCTTCGGTCCAATTTTTTGTCGGGTTCCATTTGTTCAATAGAAAATGTTTGGTTAGAGTGTTAGGTTATAGTTTAGACTCAAAAAATGAATTTAGTTAGGCTTATATTGGTTTGGGTTATGGCAAAACAAAAATGGGTGGTGTTTAAATTCAGGTGTTTAAAAAAATTCTAACTAAATCGTATTATATTTATGGTACATTTGAACTAATCATAAATAAATATTTTTTTATTATCACAATCCTTAATAAATAATCAGGCATTTTATTAGGAAAATTTTATTTCAGATAGAAAATTATTCATATTACTAGCCATTATTACACTATAGAAGAGAATGTATACACTACAGAACAGTGTCGTATTTAAGGAATCCCTTTTAGGGGTGAAACAATCCTGAAAAAATGCATCCAAAAAAACAAATGTTGCGATTTTCAGTTTTATCGATTAGCAAAACTTTTTAATGTTTATTTTATCTATAAACTGTAAAAGCATCAACCATTTATTTTTATTTTCACTAACACGTAGAACAGAGGTAAATGATATTCTTCCATTTTTATACTGAGCCACTCAATCATTGAAACATGTAAAAGGATCGAAATAATTTGGGGCATTTTATTTTCAATCCTTAACCAATCTGAATAAATAAAACATACTCCGAATAATATGTATAAGCTATTTTAAAAAATTTTTTTAAACATTAATTTTAAGGAAAAATTAATTAAAATTTTTTCTGCAACTAGAGATTTGCAAGCCCGGTATCCGGCCTAAGTAGCATCTGAAAATTTTTTGTTTGAGCTTGGCAGGGCAAAAAAATTATTGAGCGGTCGGGCGGGAAAAAAATGAAGATGCCCGGCCCATTTAATAGAGAATAGGAAATAATATCTTATGTGTTAAAATAATACTCCTTCCCTTATTTTTCTGGATTTTAAAACAGGGCGATAAAAAATCCTAACCGATCCGGGCCAGAAAAGTTAAATTAATTTTTGATTTTTATAGCTAATAATGGCGATTTCAAATATTTGGTTTTAAATTATCAAGCCCGGATATTTTTTTAAAAAAAATTTTATCCCGGTCCGGCCCGTGTATATTTAAAAAAACTAAAATACGGCCTGGCCCGTGTAGGCCGGGCTTAGGGCAGGGCCTGCAGGTCTCTGACATCTTTTTTTTCATCATATAAATTTAAAAAAAAATATATATAAATATGAATAAAATTTTCTAACACTTTATTTTATGCTCCAACATAATTCTAAATAATAAGATATAAAAATTAAAAAGTAAAGTTTTAAAGCGAAAATAAAAATTAAAAAAGAATAAAAAATTAAAATAAAAATAAAAAGAATAATTATTTTTATATTATAAAAAACTATATACAAAATTATAAATTGCATAATAATAATCTTCTGAAAAAATTATTAATTGTATATTAACAATTGTCTGATTATAAAAATTATAAATTGCATAATAATAATCGTCTGATTCTCATTATTCAAATTTAAACTTTATTATACAATGAACTCTAAATAATTATTCTTAAAAAAAAACTTTATTATAAATCCAATTATCACAACATCGTCCAACAAAATGATAATCAAAACTATTTCAGGCATCATAATTTTGGAATAACAAATATAACAATAGTTTGGGAATAATTTACTGTGTTAAATTAGTCACAAGCGTTTATGATAAAAATTGTTGAAATTCGGCTATGGGCAAATTAATTTTGCAAGGAGGGGACACTATTAGGTGAGGTTTTTCCCTATTGGAGATCTTTAGGTCCACTATTGTTACTTTGGCTATATTAGATTTTTATATAAATAATATTGAGTTTTCTCTTTTTTTTCATTAAAATCCTTTTTTTCTAAAAATTTTGAATTATAGTCGTTATCTTATAAAGTTATTAACTTTTACTAATTTTTCTTTCAAATTCTTTTACATTGGGGAGAGGGAGGTCGGGGGGGAGGGGGTATAGGGGAAATTTTTTTTATTAGCTTGAAATGATATTTACGAGAACAGGCAAATTTGCGGGAGAGAATTTCTCTCCCCTACCACAGTTATCCTCCTGAATTTAGCATTAGTAAATAAATATTTATTGACAAATAAGAATTATTTTACCATATTTTTCCATAATCTACAACAAAATATTGCTTATTTTTACTTTACCCTTCCCATTAGCCCACTACTCCCTATTATAAAAATTGAAGTCGAATAGCAGAAAACCTTACTCATTACACTGGATCAATCATCAAATCTTCCTTTAATTTTATAAATGGCACTTAAAATTCTACTAATTTATAATTATTCTTAAAAATCAGATTATTATTAGATTTTAAACTTTCCTAAAATCTATTTATTGAGATAAAAGTTTTAATTATGCATCTAAACGATAGAGTTTGCATTTATTTTTGGGTACTTTTGATATGCTGAATCACAATTTACCTCTGTAAAATTAAGAGAAAAAATGTATATCTATATTTAGCACAATCAATTATTTTCGGTTTAAATTCCCATGTGATGAAAGCTTAGAAATAAATTGGAGTGAACTAACGTTCCTCAGTTCCCAATATGCAGCTATCCCCTGCATTTAGGAAATTATTACAACCATAAAAATACTCGACGAAAGGTAAAATTGAATTTAAAAAAAGTAAAATTAAATATATAGATTCCTTATTTGCCTGTACAATTGGCTGATTTGGAGCTAAACTAAAGCTAGCTTTACCTAACCCAGGTGTAAGTGATAAATGGTGTAGAACGGCAAGTTAAAATAGTCGAAGGAATAATATTTTTATAGTAAATTAAGAATAATCTAAAATTTCTGGGCAAATATGTCTCAAATACCCAATTTGACTACTCTACACATGTTTGAATACATTTCTGGTCAAGTCGGATTTTTCAAATTTAAAAATCGCCCTCATATATAATTTAAAGTTGTGAGATCCCGAATCCCTATAGATTCTATGTCCCAATTATACGGTATATACATAGTATTTTACTTATGATGCGTCAGTTGATCCCAACTATATTTTCCAAGTTATGAGTTACCAAGTAATGTGATCTGAACAGGCTAGTAAACGAAATCGATAGTTCTTACTTGACATTTGACGAACAATAATTATTAAGGAATAGGAGAGAATAATGTGAAGTTAGTTTCGTTAATTACATTAAAAAATCAGAGTTTCTTAAAATATCTGATTTTATTTTTTTTATTTATGATGCAGATAGCATTCGACTTAATAAAGTTGTATATAATATCTTAAATTTCTAATCAATCATTTCAAATAAATGATTTTAATTCTTCTCCCTAATTATAAAATCATTTTTATGTTATCTTCATCCTATTTTACATATTCCCACTTTAGATGGCACATAATTGCCCTTAGTATAAAAGGTGATGCCATGACATTGATTTTCGATTGCAAACACGTGATAACTTATCACGTGGTTCGCAGTGAACTTCGTAAGTTAAGCACTTTAGATGGAATCCTATTATTCGGTCAACCTTTTTACGAAAACTCTCCTTTTATTGTAAGTATATTATTTTTAATTTTTTTCTGTCTGTTATATTTAATATGATTAAAAAACACCTATACATATTTTTTACGAGTAGGGAGAAATACAACATTTACAAATTTCAACTGAACCACAGACGGCTTTCGACTTCTGTAAAAACACGGAATTGAGATGCGAAAATATTTATTACCTAAAAGAGCTTCAGGTTTTGTTTCATTCATTGTTTATTCATTTTCTTTCATCTCCTTTTGTATTCTCTTCTTATGATTCTTATTTATGGTGATCTGATTTCAATTAGATGATAATTTCATAAAATGTATTATCATGAATTTTTAACAATTTATTAGAAACATAATCGGCTGAATATCAAAGAAAAAATTAAAATGCCAATAGAGAAAAATGAAATGGAAAAGGAGAAGGAAAGATTGGAGGAAAAAAGAAAAGAATGGAAAGAAGAAAACAGGAGATTGGAGATTGAAAAGGAGAAGGTTGCGAAATCTAAGAAAAGTACCAATGAATTGGAAGAAGAGCTGGCCGACGAAAGAATTAGCAGGTTATTTTGTAATTGATATACTATTTTTATTAAAATATCGAATCATCATTTTAAAAAATAAGAAAAAAAATAAAATGAATGAATAAATGAAATAATTAAAAGAAATTAATATATAAAATAACAAATAAAATTTTGAATGAACAGAAAATAAATAAAAACAAAATATATTTTAAAAAACAAAATTAAATATAAAAATAAGATAAAAAGGACAGAAATAAAATAAATTAAAACAAACAAAAATGAATTAAATTAAATTTAGATACAAGTACAAACTCATTATAACGAAACCGGATGTGTACTCGACACTAAGTCCTTTCCATCAAGATTCATATACATTTTCGCAGGAAAAAGTGACGACCAATTATGGGGAAAGAATAGACGATAATAATCACGAAGACTATGAAACTGACGACGACAACGATTACCAAGAGTCTAAGGTAACTGGAAGAATAGATTATCATGAACAAGAAGGCAATGAATCAGAAATCACGCCATATATACACGTGATTTCTACAAACGCAAGTTACGATGGAGGAGAGGGAGAAAATGGAGGCCGCGTTGAGGGTTATTTGGAACAAGAGACTATTCAGGTGTTTATTTGTTATTTATCTAATTATTATAATTTGCATGATTGAATGTCTAGGTCTTGGCAATGGCAAGTAACTATTCTTAAGGATTCCATATTTAATTTTTATTTGTTTATTTATATCATCATTTAAATAATGATGAAATTATATAATTCATTTTCATTTTTGAAATTATAAAGTGCCCTGCCACAGTGAAAGGAATTCCTGGAGTCAGAGGACTCCCCGGTCCGAAAGGAGACAAGGTATTTCAAAATATTTATTTCCTTTTTTTTTTAATTCTATTTTTTACCCTTCATTTTAGTATTAAATTTATTTCCTTTTAATTTCATATTATTATATATTTAATTAAGGGTGATCCAGGTAAAAGTGGATATGATGGAACCAAAGGCCCTCCTGGCTCACCTGGACACGTTTTTATGATTCCGGTATATTAAAAACAAAGAAGTGATAAATTAATTAGAGTTGTATGGAGCTGTTATTTTTTATTCCCTTGTAGGGGGAGGGGCTCTCTTTGTTGGACGGGTTAGTTTTATAAGTATTTCATAAAATACCTAAACACCTCGGTGAATTATATCATTTAAAAAAAGTATCATTTTTTTAAATTGATATTATTACCCTACCCTATTAATTTCTAACCTTTTAACTTACCCTAACTTCGTTCAATTCAAGATGGTTCAGAAAAAAAAAATTCTGACGGGGATCGAACCCTGGTTTACTGCGCCTCAATCAGGTTATCTGAGCCTCCAAATCACAACAGCCTTTTAAAAATTGATAATGTTTAAACAGTAGATATGGTTAATATTTTGTAAATAACACATAAAACCCAGTATTGTCCGACGAATTTAAAGATGAAAAGGTTAAAAATATAATATAAAAAAAGAAAAGAAATGGAATAGAAGGGGAGGGTAGTGGAGAAAAGGTGAAAAACAATTCTTTAAATTTCATATTTTAATAAAAACAGCTGAGAAGAGCTGGAGATTCTAAAGGACCTGGAGTGGAACAAGAAATTTATAGACAAATGTTAGCCCAACATATGGTATCGTATTTCTATATAATTTTTCTTCTAAACTTATATTTTCTATTATTATTATATATTTTTTATCTCTTAGGCTGCAATGAGAGGAGCGCAAGGGCCACAAGGTTTGACGGGCTTAAGTGGACCTGTGGTAAAAATAATTCCCTTATTTATAAACCATCTTATATATTACGACATTTTATTCATTTTTACACTCTTTCCATTCTAAAATTTTTCTTTCTTTTTTATAATATAATGCTTTCATTCTTCTATTTTTGATTCCATTATCTTCTTCCTTATTTCTTTATTTAAAACGTTAATTTATTCAATTCTTTATCATTATTCTGTCTTAATTTACTTAAAAAAAATTCTTTTTTTTTACTTATTTGTTCTATTTATTTCTCTGTTTTATTGATTATTATATTTTAATAAATGTCCTATTAATCTTTTTTTTTGATGATTATGATTCCTTATTATCATTTAAAATCATTCAATCAATTAAATTATTCAAAAAATTAAGCGTGAATTACAAAGAAAAGATAAATTAGTAATGTTAAAATAAAATATACAAAAATTTTAAAAGGGTCTGGAAACTCTTTTCCTAGGAACGCTGCAAATAAATTTTTAATTTTTAAAAATGATCCATAACCTTAGGAAATTTATACCCTTCGTGATCCAAGGAATCCATATGTTGAAATTACTACGGGAGTAAAAAATAAAAATTTAAAGAATCGGGCTATTTCCTAATTTTAAACTTTCAGCTGATACAATCTGATCTATTAATGAAATTAATAAACAAAACAGAGGTTAAATCCCGTAAAAAATATCTACCCCTAAACTGAGAGATGCTAGTTGACCATTTAGTATTTTATTTGCATAAAAAGAATATAATAACCAAATTCAAATAATAATACAGTTAATTTTTTTGTATATATTATGAAATTTTATAAATTATTAGAATATAATTTACAATTTAACCAACCACATAATTTTAAGTTGTCCTTATATACCTTACTCTACTTTACTAGGAATAAAATAGTTATTGATTAAGAGACTAATCGTTATGATTTTTATTTTTAGCCATTCAAACATTACAAATAAAATACATTTCGCCAAAAATGAACGATTTTTCTTTAGTATTATATGAAAAATAACCTTATTATTTAAAAGTTATTATATTAAATTATATCATATTCGCTAAAAACTAACAGTGAAATGCCGGATTGGTATTTTATTGGGTCAAAGTTTTAAAAAAATCCGTATTGAAAAAAAAAAATTTATACACCTAAGCCGAATTTTTTTAGCGAGTAATACTTGCCTAGCCGGACCTGAAAATATAAAATTCAAGGCCGGGGTTAGCCGAAAAATTTAAGAAAATACTAAAGTTCTAATATTCTCATTTATTTTACTATTTATTTAATTTTTTTTATTTTACTTTTATTATATTTCTTTTCTTTCATTAAATTTAAACAATCTATCTTTTCAATCTTTTTTATATATTTTTTTAATTTCACTTTAAAGGGGCCATCAGGAGATGAAGGACCTAAGGGCGATAGTGGATATAGAGGAGAAATCGTATAAACAAATAAATTATCATAATTTATTTGTTGATTTTTATTCATATTTGTTTTCTATTTGTTTCTAGAATTATTTATTTAATATATCTCTAAATTATTTATTGGGTTGTTAATATTGAAAACTATTTATTAATTATTTTTATAATCATTATTTTTTCATTCTTTTGTGATCATCATTTATTTATTTAATTAATATTTTCTGCTTAATAATATTTTATTTTTAAAAAATTGATAGGGCCTTCCTGGTCCTATAGGAATTCAAGGATTGAGAGGAAGGACTGGAAAAAGGGTATAAATAGGAAATACTAATTTTTTCTGAAAAGTAAGAATATATAATAAAGAAATAAATTTTTTAAAAAAAGGTAGAGAGAAAAATAAAAGAAAATTGAGAACAAAAATAAAGGAAGTAAAGATATGTATAAAAGAAAGACAGGAAAAAATGGATAAAAAACAAGATTGAATTAAAATATTTACATTTTTTAGGGACTTCCGGGAAGAGACGGAGAACGAGGAGTAGTGGGAATTCCTGGAATTATGGTAAAAATTTATTTAAATAATTTTTATAATTTATTTAATACTTATTATACAGTTATCCTTTATATTTTTAATAGGGCCCAAAAGGATTTCAAGGTCTTCCAGGGTTTCTTGGAGAGAAAGGAGAAAGGGGAGTTTTAGGTAAGCCCGGTCCGCCAGGAGATAAAGGTTACGACGGAACTCCGGTACTCTCATAGCGTTAATTCATTCACATTTCTATAATAGAGTTCACATTCATTTTTTAATTTAAAAATAACACTCAAATAATTAATCTTATTGTTTATTTTTTCCAGGGAGATGATGGACCGAGGGGTTTACCTGGACTACCCGGCGAACAGGTACTTATTTTTCTAGTTGCCTTTTTATCATACACTTTTTTGCTTCTGTTTAATTTTTAACTTAGTTTTATTTAAATTCCATATCATTCATATTTTTGCTCTCTTGCATATTACAGTGTTGTTATTTATTCCTTTTGTTATTTTAATTATTTTTGCAAAGATTATAATTTTATATGGATGGGTTTTAATTTAATCGTCAATATGTTTCATTAAATCATCACAACACTCTAATTTTGTTTTATTTTTTAAAGACTTTTCATTGCATTTCTTTATTGTTTAAATTTATTTATATTGTTATTTTCTTTAGCTATGATTATTATTGTGTTACTTTTATTTATAACCATTTTTTTATATAAACAAAAGGGAATTATGGGATTTCCAGGACCTAGAGGATTTATTGGATCGTCAGGACTTCCTGTAAAAAATATACTTTTACACTTTAAAATCTCAGAGACATTTATTGTCAATTTTTGTCATTTAAGCATACTCACAAAGTTTTGCTCAAATGAAAACTATTTAAGCATGCTCATATTAACAACGATAGTTTAATGGTTTTTAATTATATTTAGATTAAAATAAAATTGATCTTACAAAGATAGATAGAAAGCTGATTTGTAAGACTTATTTTTTTAGGGGATCCGGAAAAGAATACATCATAAAACAAAAATGTTAATACCAGGATATTTCTAAAACAGGAATAAATTCAAGAATTTTAAACTTAAAGTGGGATATTGTAAATCTGGGAATATGTAAAGAAAAAAACAGATAACATTATACAGGAAGTTTTCAGGGTATTTTTTACGATAAATCCAAACTTTATCTATAAAGAAGAAATTAAAATTAGTTAATATGATTCTGTTCTTTCTAATAAAAGAAAGCTACGATCCCTGGAAAAACCTCATGATAATAAATTTTCTATATATAGCGTAAAAATTGTTATTCTGACCACCAAAAAAAATATGCTTGCATATAAATATTTATAGTAAAGCGGAGTAGTTCCTTAGAAAACTATCTGCCTAGAGTTTAAAAAACATTAGTTTATCAAATAAATTATGATTCAAAATAGGTGATACTTGCAGCAATTTTCAATTTTCCATGTTATTAAGAATACTTTACATAAAGTTTGAAATACTTCTAACAATACCTTTACTTAAATTACGTGTTAATGATTCCATATGAAAAATGAAAAGACTAAAACTTATTTTATTATAATAAGGTATGTTTCAATAAAAATCACCTGCTCTTTCATAAATTCTAATTTAAGCTACTGTAATGAGCTGATTGGCCACTTTCAGAGTTATATAAGTGCTTTTATTTATTATTATTTCCTGTAATTTTTATATATTTTTTTAATTTATTTTTTAAGGGAGGACCAGGACCTGAAGGTCCTATGGGAATCAAAGGAAGCCCAGTAAACACTTTATAATCTTTTTAATAGGGTTTTAAACCCTAAATTTATTCTACTAGATAATCCAAATTTTTTCAATAAAATTATTATTAATATATTAGATTTTTAAATGATTAAAATTATATATCATTCTTATATTAAATTTTTATTTAATATTTCAGGGTATAATGGGAATTCCTGGACCACCAGGAATAGTTGGAGGATCTGGACCACCGGTAAGAGAAGAAAAATATATCAAAATACTATATAATATATTTCATGTCATAGGGTTCTTTGGGACCTCCTGGAGAAAGAGGCCCTCCCGGGATTCAAGGAAGCGAAGGCAAACCTGGAATGTCAGGTCTCCCTGGCCAGCAAGGAGAAACTGTTTAAAATAATTTTATTTATTTTTGAAGGAAAGAAAGGAAAGGAAAGAAGGAAAGAAAGAAAGAAAGAAAGAAAGAAAGAATGAAAGAAAGAAAGAAAGAAAGAAAGAAAGAAAGAAAGAAAGAAAGAAAGAAAGAAAGAAAGAAAGAAAGAAAGAAAGAAAGAAAGAAAGAAAGAAAGAGAAAGAAAGAAAGAAAGAAAGAAAGAAAGAAAGAAAGAAAGAAAGAAAGAAAGAAAGAAAGAAAGAAAGAAAGAAAGAAAGAAAGAAAGAAAGAAAGAAAGAAAGAAAGAAAGAAAGAAAGAAAGAAAGAAAGAAAGAAAGAAAGAAAGAAAGAAAGAAAGAAAGAAAGAAAGAAAGAAAGAAAGAAAGAAAGAAAGAAAGAAAGAAAGAAAGAAAGAAAGAAAGAAAGAAAGAAGGAAGAAAGAAAATAAGTAAATTTTGTTTAGTTTATTTATTCATTTTTATTTACACTTTAATTGTTAAGGGGTCGGCAGGATCAATCGGAAGACAAGGGGAGAAAGGAGACCTCGTAAATTATTAAAAATCATTTGATTCATTTTATTTACTTATTTCTTCTTTATAATTATGATTTGCATTGCATATGCTTATTTTTTTCTATTATGTTATCTATTTTTATTCATCTTTTTTAATTGTGAAATTCTTCTATTTCATGTATTTTTTTCTATCCGATCTTTAGATTCTTCTTTGAATTTTATTTTATTCTCTTCTATTTTTCTTTTCTTTTTGCCTATTTCCTTTTTCTCTTTTCTAATTTTCCCTTTATTATTTGAATTTGCCTATTTCTTTGTTCAATTTTCATCTTATTTCCTACTCTTCTTTATTTTCTTAAATATTATTTTATTTTTACAGGGTCAGCCAGGGTCTCAAGGAGTGATTGGATTTTCCGGCCCTCGTGGATTTAAGGGGCAAACAGGACAAAGAGGAATTCAAGGGGAGAAGGGGGATAAAGTTAATTGTTGACTAGATATAACCGATTTTATTTGTTTATTAAAATAAGTATCTTATATTGATTGTTTAGTGAACGATTATTGAATGCAATTAGATTAATAGATAGTCAACATTTATTTATTGATTAATCTATTTATTGATTAATTCATTGGTAAAAATTCGCTATAAAAGGTTTAGGTAACTCACTGAATCACGGGGAAATTTTTGATATTATTATTATTTTTTTAATATTTTATTTTTTTTTAATATTTTATTTTTTTTTAATATTTTATTTTTTATTTATTTTTTTATAATATTTATTTAAATATTAAAAAACAAATTTTTTTTATAAAAAATTATAAATATAAGATCTTTTGGATATATTTTTGGTGTAATTTTACAATAAAAACTAAGTATATTTAAAAATTAAAAAAAACGGAGTAAATTTAAAAGTTAAAAAAAACGGAGTATATTGAATTTTGTTGGTGTATTTTTACAATAAAGTATATTTAAAAATTTAAGAAAAGGAGTGTATTTAAAAATTTTAAAAAAAGGAGTGTATTTAAAAATTTTAACAAACGGAGTATATTTAAGAATTTAAAAAACGGAGTATTTTATTTGTGAAAATTTTCATAATTCTTACAATTTACTAAATCAAATACTAGATAATTAATCAATTTATTTGAATAAACATAATATATATACAATGATAATATAGATATATATTTTTGAGGAAAAACAAAAATAGTTCTATCTAAATTTATATCATTTAAAAATTTAATTAATTTATTTATATAATTTTTAATATTACGAAAATAGGAATATTCACATATATATAAATGTGAGGAAGATTTTCTTCCATTTCTGAGGATGCTTACCTAAAGATCCCTCCATAAACGCCCAATGCATTGAGTGTGGCAGAGTAATGATCATATCCATTTTCATTCAGATTGTTATAACTTGGAAATATATTTAATTTTAAGATTTATCAATATTTAATTTACTCTTTTCATTAAAAAATTTCTACCAAAATCCAAACGATCTTATATTTATTTTTTTTTAAATTTTAAAAAATAAATAAAAAAAAATAATATTAAAAATTTCCCCATGATTCAGTGAGTTACCTTTATTATGTTTTTTTCATATTTAAAGCCAATTATATAATTTATTTAACCAAGGGAATGTCCGGTCTAGAAGGAGAAAAGGGAAAAGAAGGAGACAGAGGCGAAAGAGGGGCCAAAGGTGCTCAAGGCTTACCCGGACAAGATGGGCCCGAAGGGGAGAAAGGGATAGAAGGACCAAGAGGTGAAGTAGGCATCCAAGGCCCTAGAGGAGTGAAAGTAAAAATGAATTAATCACGTGATATAAATTAATAAAACATTATCTTCCCTTATAAGTGAGAAGATGAATAAATATAACGAATGCATTGAAAAAAAGGGACCAGAGAGATGGATAATAGAATTTTGAATGATATAAAATAGAATTCAAGGAACAGGTATTCAAAGTTAATCAATATTAATTAATCGACATGATTAAAAATCAATAAATAAAATCTAAGGATAACTGATTCTCTTGAATAAGTGAATTGAGAATGAATGGATGATTGAATAACCAATATGACAAATTACTTTTTAAAAATAAGGGCGAACGAGGCCCATCGGGGCAAACTGGTTTTTCGGGGGAACCTGGTGTCAAAGGGGATCATGGATTCCAAGGTAATGTGGGTAAAGCTGGACTCAAAGGAAATCAAGTAAAACTATATATATATAGGCATTTTAAATATTTTATTTAATTTATTACATTAATCATTTTTCTTTTTCTTATATATACACCCAACTTCATATATATATTCGTCCATTCGCATAAAAAATATTAAAAATAAAGATGCTTCATAAATTATGTCCATTTTCATAATTATTTGGTTACCATAAAGTTTCAAATTGGCATAAATTAGAAGTTCTAGCCTCCAAAATATTCATAGCATTTTTAAGTATGATTTTTTTAAGACGTGTTCTTATCTAGCATATGTTTTTAGTTAACAAGGATTGGGGTCTAGAAGAATCTATCAAATAATTTCTGATTAGAGTAGTATGAATATATATATAATCTCTGAAGATTTTTTAATCTTGAAGAATATATATAGATATTTTTGAAAAAATAGTATATTTAAATTGAGGGTAATTATTTTCTAAATCTTACATAAAATAAAAAATTGCGAATAGTCCAATATAATATATATGAAGATGGGTTTCTCTATTTAATATTATTTTTATTTATTATTGTCTATCTATATCTTTCTTATCTATATTTTTTCATTTTTTGTTTCCCTTTACTGTTAATTTAATTATTTTGTTTTAATTTATTTTTGTTTAATTTTGATTATTTATTTTTGTTTGAATATAAATTAATTTTTGCTTACTTAATTTGCTTGTTTTTTATTTACCCTCACCCTTATTATTTTAATTTTTTTTATAAAGGGATCTCCAGGTATTCAAGGGGAACGCGGAGAACCTGGAATCAGAGTAAAAAATATAAATATTTATAAATTGTTAAAGTTATTTCGTAATTACTTTATTCAATTTAAGGAAGTAATTAATGGTCATTTCTAGATATTTTGTTTAATTTTGCTATAAATGAATCAAGTCATATTTTTTATCTTTCTAATAAGAGTTCAGGTAGCATTCTAATTTTATCACCTTAATCAATGCTGTATTATTTGACTCCATCTAAAATAAAAATATCTAGGCATTTAATACTTTTTTTCGCTTATATCGTTTTTATTTTTCTACAATTGAATTTTGTCGATTAAATATGGGCATATAAAACCTATAATTTCATAACACTTTATTAAACGGTATAGTTAGTTCCATCTAAACTAAAATACCTAGATTATAAATATACCTTTTTCTGAAATAAGTTATTTCCAAATAAATGATAGAAGACTTAGCGTCACTAGGGGAGGGAGGCATAGAGACTTGAGTCCCCTGAAAAATTTGAAAAGCCCTCTTTTTTAAAAAAATAGCTTTAAAAAACAGATCATTTTGAAAATGTTAGCTAAAATAATTCAGGATTTAGAAAATAATAACTTTTGAACACTAAATGGTTATAAATAAAATTAAGTTATCCACCATTCATCATAGTACTTGATGAATGATTTACCCAAGATCTGCTTTATGAAACAGTTTTTATATCTAAGAGGAATATCCTGAAATTCAAATTTATATGCACTTATTAAACTTGATTTCCGTTATGCAAATCTCAGGTCAGGCTTTAGTTTTAAAAAAAATTTGGACCGGGTCCGAACTTATTTTTTAAATGGGCAGGATTTGTGTTTAAAAAATATAAAAGCATTTACTTCTTTTATCAAAATAAAACAATAATTAAATTTCTCTGGGATTAGGGCAATGCAATTAGTGATTTTTATTTTATTCAACTTTATAAAAATGGTAAATTCATGTTTGCTATTGAAAATTTTTGGTGGCAGTGGGATCTAAGATAAAAATAATAATTTGGTTTAGACGGAGCCCGGTCTTAAAAATAAACCTTTAGGATTGGGTTCGGGCATGTAAATTAATAATATTCTGGGGTACTCATCTTAGAAATAGGAAAAATTGGGTCGGCCTCAGGTTGAAAGAGTATTTTCAAGGCTCTAATTCAAACAAGACGAGGCACTCTATATTATAAAATATACTGAAAATTGGCTAAATTATTATAATATTCAACTTGTAGATTAATTCACCCCTAATTATGACTTGATTTAGGATTAAAAATATATCGGATTTATTGAAGAAAGAGCCGGGCACCTTTAACTCATTTTGTAAAAGGGTAAGGAAATAAAACTTAGGATATCTTTTACTACCTCGTAAACAGGCCTGTGCAAACGAGAATATTTGGTTCTTGTGCGTTGATTTCCTTTTTTTATTAATTTGAATTTGAATTCCTTTTTTAAAATTTGATATTTAAATGGCCGCCATATTTATTTTCATCCTATACCTTAAAAAATCTTAGCACAGTCTGCCCAAAGTTTATGAGAAAGAATTCAAAAAGTTATTAGAAAAAGAATATATGGAGTGAAATATTAATCACTAAGTGGCGAACAAGATAAAATCATGAAACCAAGCGGGCACGTGGCTTATAAAATTATTCGCAAATTATTTAATAATTTTAAATTCAGTACACTACATTTTGTTAGACCAAATAGTGATTAAAAGGTACATAATAATGTGAACATAAATGTTTGAGTTTTTATTAATTTAAAAAAAAATAAAGAGTGACATTGACGTACTAATATTGGTTTGTGTTATATGTATATGTAGACCTGTGCGCCGGCCGGCTTGCTGAGATATCTGTAGAGTAATGTACATTCGTTTTTTTTAAGAAATAATAAGCAATTAAAAAAATTTATGTTATAAAAATTTATAACTGCGCCGATCGCCGATTTTGTTGACGGCGGCTAAAAATCGGCGCGGCGCCGGCCGTCGATAAGATTTTTGAAAATTGCGCCGGCGGCCGATAGTTTGTCGCGCACAGGTCTATGTATATGTATATTAATGCCATTAAATCCAAAATCAAAGCCTATATTGATAATATTATAATTATTCACGAAGAGGGTTAAAAATGTATACCCCATTCTAAAATATTTATCGACTAACTTTTATAAATATTCTTATCTTTTTTGTTTAAGACTTTATAGATTAAATATGAAGGATGAACAATATTTTAGAGAAGGGATGGAAGAAAGAGGGGGGGGGGCGGGTGTTGTTCAGATATTATTCCCAGCGACTGTGACATTGAGGGAAGATATAATTTTTGAAAGTTTAGCTTATAATATACAATCTAAATTATATTTAATAGGGACTACCTGGAACCCGAGGCAAAAGAGGTCCATTAGGCTCACCAGGATTACCAGTAATTTTTTAATTTACTTTTGCTCATTATTTTATACAGTTTAATAGTTAAATATTTTTATTTATTTTTGTTCACTTTCCCTAGTTCCTTCAAAAAATTTGTTGGCATTTAATATGTTTTAATACTTTCATTTAATTTTTATATGAAAAAAAATATCTTTATTAATTTTATTTTTATTTGTAGAAATAAATCAGAACAAACATAAAAACCACATATAAACTGTTTTTGGAAATTTTTTATCTAAGGTATATATACTATGAATGAGAAATAAATTTGAGCGGCAAATCGCCAGTTCTATTGTTTACGGTGATCAAAAAAAATGCACCTGGATTTCTCGTGAGCAAATTTTCTAAGCACCTTGGCATTTGGAACAAAAAAAGCACAATAATTGTTTATTTCTTAATTTTCTGGGCCATTTGATTATGCAAAAATGTGATCTCCAACGATAGGCAGGCCTCTCATGAAATAGGTGTCAATTTTTTATTTTTTTTATTTTAGTGAGCGTTAATATTGTTTGCAGCACTGCAGTGTGGTCAATTCTTATAAAATTTATTATAAAATGATGTCTGTTTTTATTTTATTTGAAGGTGACAAATGTAAAACCAAAAGAGAAACTGTCACGATAGTAGAGTTGGGTAATGTCTAAATGTCGGCTAATTGGGCTCAAACTTCGGGCGCTGCCAGAGAAGATCTGTTAAAATTAAGGCGATTTAATTTTAATTTCTTCTGAATTTGCGCTGCTATGTTTTTAAGAAAAATCCAGAGACCAAAGTGATAGTTTTCGCCTAAGAACTTAGTATAGCCGATTTTTTAGCCGGCTAAAAATATAGTAATTACTCAATTATATAAAGTATGTGCGAAGAAAAATTAGTTTTCTCATACGTTTCAACTAAGGAAAATTTCAATGTCACTCCATAATCACTATCAAAATAGGAAATTGGTAAGATTCTCAGATTGCAGATAAAAATTGCAAGGACATCAACAAAAGGAATATGAAAAACATATTGATAATTTATTAAATTCTCGGGTATCAATATCCCTAGATAATTGCGAATGGGGTTGAGAAAATAACTTAGTCTGAGCCAGTTGGATTAATGAGTGAATTCCAGACCTTCATTTATATATAAGAGTTATTTGAAGTCAGGGTATGAAAATATTTTTCTCAGGGTATCATTTGTTGATCTATGCTTGGGCAAAACTTAAGATAAGTGAATATTTGCTAGCAAAGGTTTGAGACTAGGAGGAGTATTTAGCTAAGTGTTTAAAAATCTGGAAAGCATAGCTAATGAGAAAGCTTAGGTGGTTAAATTATTTTGAGTCAATAACCTTGAAGGGAATATATATATAATTAATGTCTGAGAACAGATCTCATGTCAATCTAAATAATTTTAAACGATTTCTATTACTTTAGAAACATTCAATAGTTTGCTGAGAGAAACCTATAAAATTCGTTTGTTAATGTCTGTTATGATTCAGATGGTTTTTCTTTTATTTATATCCTACACCAAGAAATTCAAACCCTCTGGGGGGGGGGTCTCCTTTCTGGATCTCTTATCGCGATTTAACGGAGTCTCCCACAATTTTAGGAATGAAAGTTTGTATTTTCAGGAAATATTTTAAAGGAATCAAAAAAAATTGGTTCCGGGGCATTTTAAAATCAAGTTTTAAAAATAAGAAAATAAATTTTCCAGAAAAATATGGAATGTTCGTGAGGCCAATTGGCAGTCATCTTTAATACCAAAACAGAGTGAAGGTTTATAAAGTTATTGAGGGATGTCCATATTTTATTATTAATTATTTTGGTGGGAATTCGAAGAATGAGAGCTACTATTATTAAGAGCTATTAAGCGGGTACTGAATAAAATTGTGATTAACTCTGTGTTTTATAGGTAGTATTTTGCTTAGGATTGTGTAATTTGTTAATGTATCATCACTTTCACACGGGTAGGTCTGAGTAGATTTTGCAAATAAATAACGCGAACATCTAACTCCTCATGATAAATTTCCACTTATATAATTGAATGAGTTTAGGACCTAAATTTCAAAGAAGTCTAATGGAATATTGGCGTTAAATAAAGAAGTCCTAGAGATTAGTGTAGATCATAAGTTTTCGAATGGGGAAACTATTTAATCCTTTGATATTGCCATTTTATACGCTAGTATTTATTTTTCTTGTAGCAAGCCTAATTTTATTCCTGATTTATTAATGTTAGGTGATCAGTTAAGAGATATAAAATAGAGAGATGGGTTATAACTGAGGACTGATATTTGTTAAGATTGGAAATGTTTGATTTGTTTAGATTGTGAAAGGAAAAAAATAGTTATGGTTAAAGAGTCAAAATTATTAGCAACTATAAAATATATCTTTTGGGATACGAGAAAATTCTAGAATGAATGCCATAGATAAAAAATATTCTGCCCATAACTCTAAAGTTATAGATAATGGAGATCAACATTTTTTATAATGGGAGATGAAATAAGAGGTAGAATAGTCATAAATGTAAACAGGGAATAGAAACAATTCGGTTGAATATTTATTAATGTTGAAATTTTACCAACATATCTGGCATGAATTGGAGTATGAAATCCCAATCTCTTTAATTTTCTAAATATTTACCCAGGAGTGTTATGGAGGCGGGATTATGAGTTTCTGTCTAGTCATGCATATCTCTAATCACTATTATGGTTTAAAATTGGTAGTTGGTGGACAGAGCCAGTTGAATATATGACTAATTTATTGTCTCAGAATGCGCGAAAACATTGTAAATTTACGTTAGAAGATGCTAATAAACAGGAGAAAAGTCATAAATTATAAAAATGCATCAAGGCGTTTGCCATTTGAACTGCAGAGTCCTATGGGCTCTTGAGTAATATCGATTTATAGAGCGTGTTATTATATCATTACACTTTGTGTCTTAACTCTACATCAGTTTCAATGTAAGTGTAATGGCCACCTTTGGGTTTGGTAAAACATGCAAGATTAAAGGATTATGATTTGACAGTTCATGAGTCATGTGGTATGAAACAACTTGACTTCTTAAAGGAAGACATGAAGTAATTCGAAATTAATACTGAATAAATGGGGGAAATTAAGGAATATCTTCGGGCTGGCATTTTGATTTTAGGAAATGATTAAGTTGGCAACTAAGAAAGCTTCCCAATTTTGCCATATATCTGAAGTAAGTTCTATCAGGATAGTTGACAAATAAAATAAGAGGTCAGGTTAGGATGTATTGTGTCTATTGATGAAGGAGCTGCACAATAGACACAAAGAAATAAAAATTTTGTGGATAGTAAGGATGATGAGCAGATATCTATGGTACCAGTTTGGGGACAATTATAATAGATTCAACTTGGGGTTACAATTATATTAGATTTCCAAACTTAAAATTAAGTATTTTTTAAGTAGGACCATAATGAGCTAGTAGGTAGCTAAAATTGCTAGATATGAGAAAATGCATGAGAATCCTAAAGTGTATAGTTTGTATATAATAATAAATTTTTGTGAGCCTTGAGGCAATCAAGTTATCATCCATACATGCACTTCTACATAGGGAAGGTAAGACGTAAAATTGTCATTATGAAGGCAATTCGGGCCCGATATTGTTCGATGTTTTAGAAGGAAGGCAAATTATTAAATTCGAGTAATAAAATATTTCAAGAAATACTTTTTAAAATAAAATCAAAAAAATCGCCATATACCATATCATAAAAATAAAATAATATATACTCTTTTGTTTTAATAATTTATTTTTATTTTTTATAATCTAATATTGTTATTTAAGATTTTATATTTTATTGTTTGCTCATAGGGCAACGTGGGACAACCCGGTCCACCAGGTAACACGGGGGAAGATGGTCCTTTGGGTAATCCCGGTGTTCAAGGATTCCCAGGGCCAATTGGGCCCATTGGGATAAAAGGAAGCATCGGAAATCCGGGAATGACTGGAGAAAGGGGAGAATCAGTAAATAATAATTTTTCGAGATGAATGTAGATTTTATGAATCAAATAAGAAAAATTATAAATAAAGTGAATACATTTATCAATCAAATAAAAAAATGAATGAAGGAAGAAAGGTAGGAAAAAAATTAAAAATACAGAATGAAATTTTAAAAAAAGTGTAAAAAAAAAACATGAAAAAATAAAGAAAAATCGGAAATTTTAAAATTAAATTGTAGAAAAATGTAATAATTATTTATATATTTTTTTATTAATTTGAAATAGGGAAATCCTGGTAAAGATGGACCAGCAGGCCCAAGGGGGTTCATAGGTCTTCCAGGCAATCAAGGCGAGACAGGCCCTCACGGAGAGACTGGAGCAACTGGATTACAAGTATATTTATATATAAAATATTATATAATGGATTTTAAAAAGCTAAAATAAAATTTCAAAATAATGAAAAGAAAAGTGGCTTGTAATATTCGTTATCAAAAAAATAATTTAACATTACCTATCATTTTATACAAACTACATTGGGAAATATTATTAAAATTATATGGAAAAAAAATCGGTATTCTATATTAATACAGTAAAACTTGTATAATTTGGGTGACTTCCTAATTTAATTTTGAGTCCCAATCAAATTCCAATTAACTACTATTAGAAAGTAAAGGTCTTGATAAATTTGGCACTGTCTAATTTCGGCAAAACTCTTGGTCCTACAGTGCCTAAACTAGACACATTTTACTCTATTTTTAAAATTGAAACTTTGTTTTTTTGAGAGATGCAAATACTAGTCCCTCATAAACTACAATCCATCTAATTTTTAAATCACTCTAAGGCTTATTTTGGAGGGGGGGGGGACAATATTAAATTTGTGCATTCTCATAAAAATTACAATCATCGAATAAATTTAAGCATTGCCATTTTTCTTATACCAAATAATTGTTGGCGTATTTTAAAATATTTTGGTAAAATGTCATATAATTTATTTTAAAAAAAAATGATGTTATTGAAGAACTTCCTTTTTTGCCTTTGCAATTCTTCCAAGCTTCTTTGGCACTGGGATTTCGCCTCATTAGACAATCTATAAATATAACATCTAACAGCTAGTACTGTTAGGTGTTCAAAATATATTTTTTTAAATTTTAATCCATGTACATTAAGTTCTTTGGGGGTAAATATATCCAAAGTAAATATTAATTTTTTTTAATATAAAAATCATGTTTTTTTTATTAGTCAATTGCTTTATTTTAAATTTAATACCGAAAACACGTTTTTTTTACTATACATTTAATTTTAATGAAAAAACCCTTAAATTTTATTAATAATAATTTTCCTCATAAAATATATAATATCCTTTTTTATTATGACAATGATAACCTCGATAAATTTAAGGACGAATAAGAGAAAAATAGAAAAAGAAAAATAGTTTTTCATAATTTATATTATCTATAAATGTATATTTATTATTTTTTATGGATAAAAGGAAATTTTCTTTTTTAATAGGGACTGTCCGGCGAACCAGGAAATCCGGGTCCACAGGGAACTGAAGGTCAAAAAGGGGAAAGGGGTCTCGCAGGACCAAACGGTCCTCCGGGGGAAACTGGTCTTCCGGGATTCCAAGGCGAAAGGGGTGTTATTGGAGCTACTGTAAAAAAAATCAATTATTTTCCTTTCTTCAATTTTACTTCTTTTACTAGTATATTTCTTTCTTTATTATTTATCAAATCACTTTGACAAATTTAAAGTTTTATTATAACCCAACAAATTTATAATAGCTAAAAAAAATATTTTTACATTTCTTTTATTTACTCTTTTTGTTTATTTTATATATGATTACTTCTATAAAGCGCTTTAATCTCTTTGATTTTCTTATTTTAAACATTTTTTGAATTTATACCCTCGTGTATTTTTATTTTCAAAAATTTTACTTGAAATTTATCTATATTTAATTTATTAACATTTTGATTATCATTTTTTTCTGTTTTACTTATTTATATTTAAAAATATATTTATAGGGTTTATCTGGACCTAAAGGAGAAAGGGGATCAAAGGGTGAAAATGGATTCCGAGTAAATCAAAATTTAAAAATTTATTTATAAATTTTATTTTAAATACAGTTATTCAATATGTATTTTTAAATTTATTCATTTTCTAACATCATAATGAGCACTGCTGTAAGCGTTACTTTTCTCGTTACTTTGAAATTAAACCTCCATAGATCTAGAGTCCAGGATATTATTCAAAAATCAAATGCACAGTCTAACTACACATTGCTAAGGAGAGTTTCACAAACAATCGAGAATATTCTTAAAAGATATGAACAGGTTCTAGTTAAAATAATGGTAAAAAAGATTTAAGACTTTAAGATATCTCAAGTAAGGGTAATTCGTTTCTCAGAAAAGGTTGTCTTTCATTTGTAAGAAGGATTCATAAAATGAGCTGTCCATTTTATTGAGTGAAAATTTAGTTTATTACTGTTTATATTCGATATTTATTATGAGGTAAAAAAAAAAATTTTTTTAAATAGCCTTCAAAAAAACTTATTGGGCATTTAAACATTTAAATTAGACCTTCAAGAAATGAAATCAATTGGTATTTAGCGATTAGATCTGATTTATGAGAATGCAATAACTAATTATCTCATATTGAGATACTAAAATAAATTAATTAATAAAATAGCTTAAAAATTCTCAAAAGTGTAATTCTGTGATTACCGATTGAAAAAGTTGTAGCGTAGTTGTGCCTTACTGATGGCATTTCTTAAACTACTAATAAATACTCTGGTAGTTTACTATATTCCACAAAGGAATACACGTTTTAAAAGGTTACCCATGTTATTTATATCTGCTTGTATTAATATGGTATTAGAATATTAACTAAGTTTCGACTAGGTGAAATATATGAGGAATTATAAAGAGGGAGCTGAGAAACGATCATTCTTATACAAGTGCAGATTTTCAGATAAAAATTTAACAGATGTCACATAAAATACCATAAGAGACTTGTCAAGAGTCAATTATTTTTCAAATTAAAATAACTCGGATCATATACTAATGGAAAATAAATGTTTAAATTTTTTTATATATTAATTTCCTAAAAGCTCATTTTAAAAATTAAGTCCTTCATAATTATGTGTCATGAGAAATTGAAGGTAATCTTTTTTTTGAAGATTCTTATAAGATAATATATATTAACGTTTACCTAAGATTAATTTAATAAACTTGATCTGGATAAATTTGAAGAAAAAAAAATGGAGTCTGGATAAGAAATTTTTAAAGATAACGAGTAACATCCATAAAGATAATTTTAGTTGTTTTAAGAAAACTAACACGTTCCCTTTTCGCTAAATTGACTTTATTTTATAGCGCTGCTGATATAGTTTTTTGTCGCACAGTGTTTTTTTAAAGGGTAATGATGTATTAGCGTTGGTTGAATGTTATTGATTTTTTCTGTGCTTTTATTAAAAGATTAGATAGCGTTATGATTTATATAAAAATATTTTTGTATCGAGGTATGATATATAGAATATTGGATGCTACCGCGTAATTCCGTTAATATATTAAAATCTTTCTTATTGCATTTTAATAAAATTTGTTCGTTGTTTAGAAAATTTCTTTATGATGACCAGTGCTATATATAATTACCCCTGTCTAACTATTTAGTGTCATTTTTCAATCTAGTTAGCCTTTGAGACGTCACTTTATTTTTTTTAAAGTCACAATATGTTTGAAACGGGCAGTATATGACAATAAAAGCTATAAACAAATATTTCCAATAAATGGTCTACTCATTCATTTCATTGATTTTATTCATTATACAATTTATCATTCTTTTCTACTATCTCATTCATTTATCTATTTTTATGCCTATTTTTTTCATTGATTAAATATATTACTTTTTTAAACTAAATTCATTTAAACAAAACGATGAAATTAATTAATCAAATTATATTTATTTTTCATTCATTCCTATGTAACCTTCTCATCATTTCCATTCATCTTTATAATAAAATATTTAATAAGGGTGACAAAGGCCAAATTGGAGCTATCGGTGAAGCAGGACCTCAAGGATTAACCGTAAAATTTTTTTATACTCTTAAAAGAATATTTGCTAAAATTATTTATTTTTTATATAAATATTAGTATATTGTTTGTTTACTTTGGTTTATTTTTCTATTTTCTTTTTGATTTGCTTTTTGATATTAGTAAATTTTTAGAGAATAATTGTTTATTACTGCTGAAGATTTGAATTTAATTACTTCAATAAATCCATATTCATTCTTTACTAATCACACAAACCATACAATCCCGGAAAAATTGTTATCAAAATGGATAATGCTAAAACTATATACCTCTTAGGTAGCTTAACATTGCCCGATATCACATCATAAACATTCATATATAGAATCCTTCATTTATAGATATAATTTATTACTACAATTACTATTAAATTTGTTTGTTCACTAGAAATTTGCCGTTCAAATTTCAAATTAATTCACGGCTCCATGTGCCCTATTATTCTTCGTTTATAATAATATTTTTATTAGCCCTTTATTTTAGTTTTTTTTAAAATAACATTTTATCTAATGCAGATATATTGTTTTCCCCTTTCAATTTTTTCTTTATTTAAGTAAATATATGCCTAAAAAGTAAAAGGAAAATGACAATACCACCAAACACTTAAAACTAACCAAAATTGGTGTCCTAGGTTCAGGGATCCAAACCGAAACGAATATCAGTTCGATTCGGGTTCAGGTTCGGATAAAAATAACGGTTCAGGTTCGGTTCGTAAAAAATTAGAATATCGGTTCGGTTAGAACCTCTAAAAACCGATTTGAACACTTTTGTATTCAAACCTACATTCGAATTATGTAGAGGGAAAATATTTTTTTTATTTAATCATTAATTTAAAAAACACATGTATAAAATTCATTTTTATTAATTGTACATTATAAAATAATATTTAATTTATAAATATAAAAATAAAAATCAATTTTAATAAGAACAATATTTTACTTTTTTTTGCTTAAATTTTTTTTATTAAGCCGGACAATTAATACATTTTCAAAATTCGTCTCACTCGAATTATATCTATAAGGAGATAGTATAAATTTAATTGTTGAAAAACATCTTTCCACACTAACTTGAGCCGACACTACCAATATGATATCAGATTTGATGTGTCATTTAATATTTTGGATTTAATTTTTCTCTAAGCATTATAATTTATAAGCTTAAAGTTTTAAAAAATGTTGTAAAATGACAATATACTAAAGTTTATAAAAATTATGACCGACACTTATCAATCAAGTGTGATTGATGCTAATTTTAAAATAATTCGAATATAGTTGAAAATAAGAATAAAATTATGAGGCTTGAACCGGTTCAGAAGCATTTTAGCGGTTCGGTTTAGGTTCAGCTAGAATTTTTTTAGCGGTTTAGGTTCGGTTCAGGTTCGATAAAAAATACCGGTTTTAGCGGTTTAACGGTTCGGTTTGGATCCCTGCCTAGGTTTCGTCGTAATAAGTATCAAAACTAATTCGAGCCAGGACAAAGTCATAACAATTTTTTAAAGACAAAATATAGGCAACAAATATAAAATTATAATTATAGGGCAAAAAATGATGTCTAAAAAATAAAACAGTAAAGAGGACTAGGAAGAAGATGAAAATAAAATATAAGAAAAATGGACTATTATTAAATGGAAGAAATTAAATTTAGGTTAGAGCGAATAATCGCGGTAGCAAACCTTTGCCATAAAATGAGATTCCTTGATCTAATTAGTGTTTTTTTGAGAATCCGTTTTCCTAATACTTTAAAAAAGATTGAGCTTTGCAACCGAAAGGGGTAAAAATGAAGCAGGCGATGGGTATGAATGAGTTAAAAGAATCGATTGAGCAGTATTTGGTGATTTTCTGCAAAGGCGAGAGCCTCGACGTTGTGGTTGAATCAAGGCAAGTTATGTCCCAAACTAGAAGCTGGACTCTAGACCAAGGAATTGAGGGCATTACATCTGTACGCTCCTTATCGGTTCTAATATGCCGGTTGGTTCAAGTCTAGAAGGAATACCTCCGGATTTAAGTCCTCACAAAATATTGTCATTTAGATATATCGTGAGAAACTACCTCTACAAAAGCGGTGATGAAGGCAATGTCTACCCTTGCTATCTATACGCTTTCTTGGTAAGGCAAAATTATTTCGCAGTTGACCGAATCTAATACCAAATCTTAGCTCATCGCGAGTTTGTTGTAGGATATGGTTTCCAGAAACTCATAACCTGATCCATGTTCACGTGGCAAAAAACACAAAAGATTTTATTTTTTAAATTATTTATTATTAATTTTTATTTTGTTTACTTCTATAAAATGATTGCTTATTTTTTTTTATATTTTGCCCACTTTTAGACAAATAATTTTTTTTTATACATTGTGTATATTGTTTTAATCAAAGTATCAAGCAGGGAAACATTTATAGTTATGTTTCGCTTTGCTTATTTTCACATAATAGTTATTTATCTTTAATGGGGCATAGTAATTTATTATTGTTTTTACTTGTTTGCTATCTTTGTTCACTTTTAGATGAATATTTTTTTACAACTGTTTGTTTAGTTTAATTAATTTTTTTAGGTTTGATTTAAACAATATTTATTTATATATTTTTTAAAGGGATCCCCAGGTGTCATAGGTGCCCCGGGAGGTAAAGGCGAGAAGGGGCGTGATGGTGTACCTGGTGAAATAGGATTACCAGGTCCGTCTGGATTACCAGGACCTAAAGTTAAAATTTTGTATTAATGAATAATCTAACAGTTTATAAAATAAAAAATTTGAATATGTTGATAAAGTGTTTCTAGATAGCATTTGTATTTCTTTACATGCAGATAAGGATTATTTTCTTACTTAAAAATACCTTGACGGTACGGTGCATTCGTTTTTTAAAATAAAATTCATCTTACTAGTTATATATTCCACCACATTGTTAATAAGTTTCAGTTAAAAATAAAATTAGGCTGTAAACATTTTTTGAAAGAAAGAAAGGTTTATTAGAAAATTATGTTTAATAAAAATATTTTATAACTTTAAAATTATGAAATAACAAAAAACAATGTTAATATCTGATCGGGTTATTTTAATTATCCATCCAATTTACCCGGCTCGACCTGATTCATCAAATAATATTGGCACAGTCCTAAATGATATCTTTTAAATTGTGAAATAAAAATAATAATAAAATGTGTATCTTAGGGAAATGTAGGTCCCTTAGGCATTTCCGGTCCACCTGGCGAGGAGGGCGAAAGGGGTGAAACGGGAGCTTCTGGTGAAAAGGGATTCAAAGGCGAGATAGGACTTTCGGTTAAAACTAATACATTTTATTTTAATCTTTTTTATATTTAATAAATTTTATTTTTATGTAAATCATAAGTTTTTTTGCAATCTTATTATTTTATCTTATTATATTGTAATTTTGTTTCTTATTTTTATATTAGGGGCCGATAGGGAGGGTAGGACCTCAAGGAGTCAGAGGAAAGCCAGGAGAACAGGTAGAATATAATATAATGAATAGAAAATTGAATTATATTTTAACTCAAGGGATTAATAGGGGAGCCAGGTGTAGCCGGCCAGGTGGGCTTACCTGGACACAAAGGTGCTGATGGAATAGCAGGTGAAAAGGGCGACACAGGAATAATTGGACCTCAGGTATAATAAAATTTTCAAAACATATTTTAGATTTTTTCAAATATCAAAAAAAAATTAAGCCGCTATTTTATTCGAGAAGTATTAATGGTGTAGTGTATAACGAAAATATGGCTCAATTTTTTTGAAATTTTCTAATTTTATTAAGATTCAATTTAAAATTTAAAAGGTTTCCAGTATTCCTCTTTTTGGGAAATTCTCTTTGAATTTCTAAAAACTAAATAATTTTTTTATACAGGGTTTACTAGGTCCAAATGGAGATAAAGGTGAGAGAGGTGACGCTGGAAAGCCGGGTTTGATAGGTGGGCCAGGGCAGCGTGGACCACAAGGACAAATAGGCCCTCAGGGAGAAATAGGTCATCCTGGCACCACCGGCGAAAGTGGTAAAACTGGCTCAAAAGGCGACGCTGGATTACCCGGAAAACCAGGATTGGTGGGGAAACCCGGAGTAGCAGTAATGCATTCTTTTGCATATTTGTGCTTCTATCTTATTTCCCATCTCTATTTCGTTTTATTTCAAATTTTATTTATAAGGGACCGAGAGGAGAATCAGGACAGAAAGGAGAAACTGGCGAACGTGGACTAACAGGCACGATGGGTAAACCTGGTCCAAGTGGTCCGTTAGGAGCAAAAGGAGAAAATGGAAATCCTGGTATACCAGGTTTACAGGGCTCGATCGGTCCATCAGGTTTCAGTGGACCACCAGGAGTGCCTGGGACCGACGGTTTACCTGGAAAGATTGGAAATCAAGGTAATTTTTTTTTGAAAGAAATAAGTATTTTGAGAACGGAATAGATTATTTTAAAGATTCAAAAAGCAGATTAAGAATTAGAAATAGAACTTGGCGTATCCAAAAACATTAATGTATTATTTTAAAGAATGGAATGAGTTAAAAATGAATATAAAAATAAATTATTTAAAGTTTGAGCAAGAATTATGAGAATAAAAATAATACTTTGAGAGTAATTATTCAAATTTTAAAATTAATAAGAATTTAGAGAATTTATTACTCAGATTATAAAAGAAAAGAATGAAAAGAAGATTTATAAGAAGGGTTTAAAATCTTAATAATGAAATGACTTAAATAATAAGAAATAATTAAAATAAGATTGGGATTTATATGAATAAAAAAAGGAATTTAGAAAATGGAACATTTTTTAAGATTAGATAAAAGATGTGATATACTAAATGATTGAAAAAGAGATATCTAAGATTGTAATGTATAATCAAATAATTGATTATCTATAATAAATGTAATGAAGATATTTGGATTGAAATGATGTTTCAAGCAAATAGATAAAAGAATTAAGAATGGAACGAATTGTTTATAAATATTTTATTTATAGGTGAACCCGGTGAAAGAGGCGTTCCTGGATCTGTAGGACCCCAAGGAAAAAGTGGGCCACCTGGTTATGCGGGAAAAACAGGTCCAACCGGATATCCGGGTCCGAAAGGAGAAACTGGTCATGTAGGACCTACAGGCATGCAAGGCCCTATCGGGCCAAGAGGACCTTTGGGACCTTCAGGTCCTTCCGGACCTGTAGGGCAGCCTGGACCAGTGGTAAGAAATCTTTATTGATAATAAATATATAAATAATAAGACAAAGAAAATTAAAAAATATATAATGGAAAGCAAATTAATTAATGGAAAAAATTGATAAAAATATTTTCTTAATTTCTAGGGTGAGACCGGTTCTCCGGGACCAATAGGACCCTTGGGGGCATCGGGTGATACCGGTGAAGCTGGTCCAAGAGGGGAGAAAGGCCAACGTGGAATTCGCGGACCTAAAGGTCATGGAGGATCTAGCGGAAGGTTAGGAGACCCTGGAATTCAAGGCTCAACAGGATCACCCGGCAAACCAGGGCGAAATGGACCTCCCGGAGTAAAAGGAGATCAGGTAAAATAAATATAAATGTTTATTTTCATGTCTATTCTATTTATTTATTTATAATAATATAATTTGTATTATCATCCATTTTTATTGATAGTATTTTAATTTCTTCTTTTTACAGGGTTCGACAGGACCAATTGGTCTAACGGGTTCCGATGGTCAGCCTGGAGTGCCTGGGCCTGAAGGCATACAAGGTCCGAAAGGTGCAATGGGTCAAGAGGGACCCAAGGGGGCTAATGGACCATCAGGATTACCTGGATCGAGAGTAAAAACTATTCATCTTACAATTTTTTTCTTTTTAGTTGATTTTCTTAATTATGCAATTTTATAAACTATCATCAATCCATGGCCATATTAATTAGATTACATTAAATCCATATAGTTCATTCGTTCATAATTGTAACGTGAAAATTCTTTAACTATTCAGGGACTTCCCGGGGACAAACCCTATATCCCCCCTCAGTTGGCAGCTCAAATATTTCAAACTTTGAGACCTAAACGACACGTTACTTTTTTAGCTAATGAAAATGTTGCCCAAAACATTGAAAAAGGATTAATCGATAATTTGGAAATAGATTCTTCGTCCGAAAGTTATACGAGCAATTATAAACAGGAAGAGAGTTACAGCAAGGAGGAATTAGAAAAGGAATTAAAGGAATTGAAAAAATCGCTCGATTTGGAAGTAAATAATCAAACAAATGGAATAATGAAAATGAAATGAAGAATAAATAGAATTGAAAATAGATTATGAGAGTAAATAGATAATTATGAATAAAGCATAAATAAATAAAATAGAAATAAAAGATTAGAAAGAATAAATAAACGAGAATTAAGAGTTAATGAAAAGAATAGAAAAAAAGAATAAATATGATATTAAAATAAAATATCGGAAGTATGAAATCAAAAATTTGGAAATGGAAAAATTTTAAAATAGAATGAATAAATAATTTATAAAAATAAATAAGAATATAAAGGAATTAAAAAATTGAATAAATAAAAAAAACGGGTTTAGTAAATTGCTGGAAACAATAAGAACAAAAAAAAGATTAAATAAATAAAAGAATGAAATGAATAATTAAATAGAAAACTTCTTTCTTAAAAGTTATTAATAAATTATATAGAAATCGGATGATAAAGAAGCGATATTGGTGACTTTAGCTGCTAATATGTTTAGTTCACTTGAAAGAATGAACGCCGCCTTGTCACCCCCCTCTGGTAACTCTAAAGCCGATCCAGGGCAATCATGTAAGGAATTGATGGCCATCAATCCGGAAATGGATAACGGTTTAATTATTATTTCTATTTCTTTTTCACTTTCATATAATTTTGTAAAGTTCAGATTCCGTAAATAACAATCACCTCCCTTTCATTTTTTTATTTGAACACCTACGTTTTTCCAATGTATTTTTCATCTATCTTTTCTACATGACCAAGTGAGCTAGCCGATTTCCCTCCACCTTATATTATGAAGTAATCAAAGTTTCTTGAGTGTCTTCGTTCCTTGCATGATCTCCTTTGGTTTACTTAATATTAATCTTATTATTCTCATTTTTGTAACACATAATTTTTCTTCGGCTTTTCTCGCAGTTTAACATTTGATCCCATACAAAAATTCTGGCCAAATAACCGACAAATATGTCCTTAAAATCATAAATAATTACTTTATCTGATAGAATTCCGCCTATAAATTCCCACTTTCCACATGCAGGCAATTTTATATATAAATCTCCATTTAATTTGTTCTCACTCTACATGATCCTAAATATTTGAAAGAATCTATTTTTTCTATATTTCAATAACCTACCTCTCTCTCTATATATATGATGTTCTCTCTTATAAAACCCATCAGATTCAACACCATGTATGTAGTTTTTTTCTAACCTTTGTATCAAATTTATCCGCCCTTTTATTAAAATTATCTAGCCTTTCCGTCAATTCTTTGTTGTCCTAAGTCCAAAGGAACTCAATCATATACCTCCTCTAGGCAATGAACACCATGTGAGGTTTGTTTACTTCTAGCAATATTTTCCCATAAGGATTTTATTCCAAATATAAGATCCATGGTAGTTTCTCTGCTTTAAACTCATATTGATTCATTCACCGAAATTCATATTCATTATCTGGGGCATTAATTTAATGCCCCTATAACTTACGTGTTCCTTCATATCATCTTTACCCTTGAAAACTAGAAACTAGGATAAGGTAAGATTTTATTCAATTCTCTGTCATCTTTTCCCCACTTAATACATATTAAATAACCAAAATAATTTTATTCATCACCTAAAAATTTTACCACCACATCGGTATATCATTTGATTCTCTATCTCTGCGCCTTTTCTTTGGCAGCCTCCTCCATTAGGGGATGCCGGGGTTAGGACACTTTTCGTTCAAACCTGATTAAATTCAATATTATTTAACTAATCTGAATAAATACATCTTCTCATTTTGGCTGTTTGAAATAGTTAATATATATTTTATAGAACTATACTTTTTTTAAATAATTTGATCTTAAAATCTTTTGGCCCAACGTTGCCATAGTTGGTCTACCAATATATAAATTTGGTCCACCAAACAAATGAGGGTCTAAATATTAAATTTAATTTTTTTGCTATTGTTATAATAAGAGGCTCTAATGTAAATTAATATCATAATAAAAAGTAATTAAAAATGAATTTAGTAATTTTAAAAAATTTTAGTATAAAAAAACAAAATATTATTTATAGTTTATTATAATAAAAATTAATATTTTCGATTGTAAAATATTCAATTAGAATTATTTTCATTTTCTATCAAATTAAAAAATAAATATGCAATAATAGAAACTACGTACCCCTGACCAACCATAACCCAGCAGCTTACTGACTTTACAAATATGATACAGAATCATGTTAATCCATGTTTTATGATTTTGAGAAATTTTCGGATTAAAAAATAGGGTTTAAAGTTTTCTAAAATTTATTTATAAATTTAAACGATAGTTTTCAATCATTTTGTTACTTTTGATATGCTAAAACACATTTTTCTCTGTAAAATTAACTAAATATTTTTCAAATCTATTTTAGCTAATCATGTATCACATAATTATATATACTAACCCTAAATTCCAGTCTTATAAAATAATAGTTAAATTATAATTAGGACTAACATTCCCCTGTGCTCACCGTGCCCCAGTCTCCCTACATTGTAATTAGATACTCGCAGTTCTCTTACATTTCCTTCATTCATTATATCAAAATTTATTTATCTCTCAAAAATAAATGCTTCTTTAAATTGCCACTAGCCTTCTCCATCCTTAATGTAATGTTTAAAAGATCTCTAATCTTTACACCCTAACTTTTGAAATTTTATAACCCAAATTCGGAATATCACGCCCTTCAAAAAAAATTTCTTATACAGTTCATTCCATTAAAATTACTCTTTTTATTCTTTTAATTTTGTCTCTCCAGTGCTTAAATATTTTGTCATATATTCCATTTTATTCTTAAATTATTCATTCAAATCCTTAGAATCTTTTTCTATTTTCTCTGTTCTTTTAATTATTCTTATTTTGATTCATCTTTTGATTTTCCATTAAATTTTTTTATGTTAATTTTTTGTACAAATATTTAAATTATAGTCCAATTAAACGAGTCAATAAAATTTTTATATTTGATTCCCCATTACATATTTTGCTAAATAAACTACTAAAAACATTTCGTATGTTTTTCTTTTCTTTATTTGTCAGTTCTTTTAAAGTAACGTCGATAAAATCAATATAATGAGATTACTTTTTGGAGAAAGAAAAGGCATGCCAATTAAATACTTGACCATTTAAATGTGCGTTTAATATACAGTACAGCAAAAGCTTACCGAGTACTAAATTATCCGATCAAAATTATGATAAAAATCATATATAAAAATGGTTAGAAAATGTATTTTTATAATTAACTCATTATGTTATAACTTTTTTGACATAGATAAAATTTTAGTACACTTATATGTTTTAAAGTATTGAGAAAATTACCTTTATCATATTTATTAAAACAAAAAGTAATTATAGATATTTGCATCTCAAATCCCTTTTGTTTAATTACTTTTTTTTCTAGCATAATTTATTGTCCTTATTCAGGGTTTTATTGGATCGATCCCAATCTAGGATCAGGAATTGATTCCATCCTCGTTTATTGTAACACTACTTCTGGCGGGGATTCTTGCATCTTTCCGGATGAGGAAATTAAAATGGTATATATGATTTTGGGAAAAATGGGTATCTAAAATTGAGAAACAATTTGAGAAAGATTCAAATTTTAATATTGGGAAAGAATGGAGAGATCAGTAAAAATTCACAAAGATACAAATTTGGGAATTAATAAATTTCGGGAAAATCAAAATTAGAAAGATTTAATTGAGAATTTTTGAAGGAAAAGATTAAATAAGAATATTTGGGGAAAAGTAGAAAGTGATTAGAGTGGATTCGATAACATTGAGAAGAATCAAAGGAAGATCTTATAAACAATTTTTCGGGAAAATTCAAATAGAAATATTGGGTAATATTAAATATTAATGAAAATATACGGGAATGTCTAGGAAAATTATGTAATATTGGTAAATATTCAATGAGGAGTATATTTTTTTGTAAGATACAAAAATAAAATTGTAAAAAATATTTGAAATAGAGGTAGGCACGGCGACCCGAATCAAAGAAAATTTTGGCGGGCCCGGATAACATATGCAAAATATTTTTACTGTAGGGGCTGAAAGTTCACAAATTATTTTAAAGCAATAAGGCAAATTTGTGTATTTTTCCTTCGTAAAAAGTTATTACAAGCAGGGACAACCTGTACAAAATTATTTTACAGACCGAGCTAAAAAAAACCCTTTTTAAACATCTTCGCGAGCCGATTCGCGCCACCCCGATCTTTAATTCGAATTTAAAAGTTTTCATAAATTTGAGGGATTACTAAGTTCGGGAAGAGTGATATAATTTTTAAAAAATTTTATAATTGGCAAGATTTAAATTCGTTAATTTTTATTTTGGGCAGATTGAAAAAACCTCCGAAATTTTTATTATATGAAAATTTGTAAATAAAATTTGAGAATTATCTCGAGAGAAATCTGGGGAGATTTAATTTAATAATTTAGAAATAAATAAGAAGATAGGGAATTTTTCAACATTAAAATTTGGGTAGAATCCTTTTTATAAATTTGAGAATATATAAAAAAGGAATATTGCTAAATAAAAAGGAAGATTTAATATAATAATTTAGGAAGAATAAAAATCTTTCCATATAAATTTGAAAACATAAGATTATGAATAAATGTGGAAATTATGAATAATAAATTTGCGAAGATACCCAATTATAAAAATTAGGGAAGTTAAAATAAAATATTTGCAATTTTCTTTTCTAAATTTTCAATAAATGTTTTTTCCTCTAAACATATTCTCATAAAAGATGCCCAATATCCCTTGGAAAGCCAATCAAGAAGATCCGAAATGGTTTAGTGTTTTGAGCGGAGGAATCAAAGTTTTATATATATTCCAGTCAATAATTTATTATTTTCCATTTTTATTTATTTTCATTCCATTTGCAACTTTTAACAATTTCATTCTTAAATTCTTTTTTGAGCTATTCTTAGTCTTTTTATTCTTCTATATCTTCCATTTTATTTTTCTATTTTTCTCTTCAAACTTTAATAATATTCTTCACTCCTTCATTTTTTTATTCCTTCTCAAAGTTATATCAATTTCATTCTTAAGCTTCTTCTTTTTTTTCATATTTTATCCTTCCATTTTTTATATCTTTCACCTATTCATTTCTTTATGTAACCTATTTAATTCTCAAGCTTCCTCCTTCTAATATTTATTTTGTTTATCGAATATTTTTTCTTTATGATATATTCTTTTTATTCTTCTTTTATCTTATCGATCATTTTTTCTTTTCATTCTTATAATCTTACACCTTATTTTTTCCTTTATATCTTCCATTTTATTCTCTAAATTCTGCATTTCAATTTTTATCATTCCTTTTTATAGCTCTCTTCTTATTAGAATGTGAAATAAAAATGGGAAAAGATCAAAATAGAAGTAATCTGAAAAGATAAAAATGGAAAATTAAAACGATTTATATAAAAAAATTATCAATTAGAATATTGGATACCTTGATTTTTTTTCATTCTTAATAATATTCTTTTAATTTCATTATATTTTTAAGTTTTCCTACCATAAGACTTTGAAGGAAAATGCCGAAATTCAATTAAGATTCTTGCGACTCTTGAGTGGTTCAGTTCGTCAAAAATTTGTTTTCACATGCGTTAATACAGGTTAATTCTATTTCTATTATAAAAATTATTCCTTCCATTTTTATTTTTCGGATGTTATTAAATTTAAAATTTTTTAAAATGATAATTTTCTTTTAAAAATCATATTCAACCCTACCAATATATATGATTTCGGTTCTGCCTGAACTGGCATTTATATGGGTTTTTCGGGTCCCGGCCTTAACGATTTTTAGTGGATGAAATAATCATAAATAAATTTTGACACCGGTAGTTGAAAAATTTTTATTCTATGTTTTTATAAAAATTGAATTCTTCTGATTCTATTTTTTAATAAAATTGGACCATCTCATAATTTTTTCCCTATAGACATTAGTTTTTATACCATATTTAATTTAGATATGCAAAAAATAATAATTAATCTAACCTTAGTCTTATTATTATAACTAGTTTTAATATTTAGTTTAAATCGTAATTTGTTCAAATTTTAAAAAAATTTAATATTTTTAAAATTCCGATCATATTTTTATAAACCCAATTATATTAATTTTATAAAAATTATTGTTTGTCCCTTTATTATTTTATCTTTATATTTTTAAACTTTTTCCTTCGATTTTAATTTATGATTTTTTCCATTTATTAATATTTTAATTTTTTGTTATTTATTTAAATTATTAGGAAGTTCTGGTCTTGCATTCAAAGATTCTAATGGGAAAGTGTTTCCTTTCAAATCCGGAATTAAAACCATGATCAATACTACTAGCCAGGAATCACTTGATGAGAGCAACGAATTCATAGATGTTTTGTACGATGGATGTCAAGTAAAATATGAGATAATAGAAGGAAAGGAAATATGGATAAGAACTAAAGAGGAGAAAGGGTAGGAGAAAGAATGTAAAATAAAATAAATTAAAATATTGAGAAATATTTAACTTACTTTTTCTGTTTCCATTTATTATAATCAGATAATTTATTATTTCTAAAATCAGGACTCAATGTCCATGTCTCGTACTATCATAGAAATTGTCGAAAAAAGAAATGGAAATAAAAAAAAACATATGAAAGAGAACAATGAAATGAAGAAAGATGAGAATGAAATGAAGATAGAATATTGGAATGCCATGGTTTTGCCACTGACAGATTTTATAAACGATTTTATGAAAGAAAAGAATGAGCGTAAAGTGGGGTTAGATCAAATGGCCTGGGGTTACGAATTAGGTCCTATCTGCTTCAATTAGAAGAAAGATGAAATAAAACAATTAAACAACGAAAATTATAAGCTGAAAAGCCTTAATAGGAGAATGGAAAGAATAAATTTATTTGTTTTTATATTTCATATTTTTTTAAGAATTTTTTTGTAATTTTTTTATAATCTGTTTACAAAAATATAAATAAAATATATTTAATTCCTATAAAAAATTTTGAAATGGAAAAAAAATGGAATACAGAAGGAATATTCAGAGAGTTTGGAAATTTGAAAAAAAAACCTTGAATAAATATAAATTAAATAATGGAAAGGGAATAAGAAAAGAGAGAAGAATTCTAATGAAATAAATTTAAGAATATAAAATAGAAAAATGTAAATTATGGATAGAAACCAAACTGAGTTTACTAATAGAGAAGCGATTTGTAAAAACCTTTTTTTATTAGCCAAACGATATAAAATAATAATGATTTTGAGTATAATAACCAAATCAGGCGAGTACGCAGAAATTTAATCTGGAGAGAGGGAGGGGGGAGGGGAGATAATAAAATTTGTTATATATTTACAGTAAAATCCAATCTTTGTTTGGATTGAGCTAATTTTTCAATTATCTCATTCTTGGTTGGAATCAAATGCCTATGAATATTCAAAAGATTTAAACCATTCAATCTAATTTCAGAAGTTGTACTTTTTAGGTATGTTTTTCAGAGACCTGCAGGCCCTGCCCCGGGTATATTTAACAAAATTAAAATACGGTCCGGCCCTTGAATTTTGTTTCTGGATTTTAATGATTTGATTGACTAAAAATGGCCTATCGTTTAGTTGATGTAAATAACGAGCTAAAAGATCATTCAAATTTTTTTATAGGTTACCATAATATTTGAGGAAAAGTACATGCTTATGAACCCAAATGGTCATTATACTTAAAATCATTATATTTTATATCGTTTGGCTAATAAAAAAAAGTTTTTACAAAGGCTTTCTTCCAAACACGGGAAAAAAATTGCGTTTAATTTTCGGTGATCCTTATCTTTGGCAAAGAATTTCAATTGAGATGTGTAGGTCACACTTTATCTTTTTTAATATAATCATATTGATTTTTTTAAAATATTTTTTATTTTGATATAGTTTATATTTTATCTTATTCTTATTTTATAAATTGTAATCGTTTTTAAATTCAATATTGTTGCCAATTGTCCGATCATAGCGTCTAGACCATCTCCCGGCGATGCTCCTGATTGATTATATGGTTTATAGAGGTATGCCGCAATGCGATCTACATAGACCTTTCATAAAATGCTTATTCTTAAAATTTTCAGTCATATCACATTAAATGTTTGTCAGTAGCCTGAATGAGTTCGATAAAATCTAAAGGAGGGTTGGCTGAAATTGTTGTTGATTCTTAGTGTTGTTAGGGTAAGCTTGGGTTAGGATGTATAGCAACGTTATGATTTCTTTATGTGTTTAATTGAAATATTATATAGCGTTGTAATTTTATCCTTATATACAAAAAATTTGATGTTTTTGAGTAGCGTTTATGACCTAATCAGTCCATTGCTTGAATCACAATCCGATAGTTCTTGGTTCAAATCCAGCAACCATGTTTTTCCTCAAGTCAACTAGGTGGTTACGTCCTTGGGAGGGGGGGGTGTTATATAATGGATCAAACTCAACCACGTGATTCTGTTAATATATATCAGAGACCTGCAGATATACCATCTGCACGGCCCGGTCCAGATTTAAAAAAAATTAGACTAGCCCAGCCCACGTTTTATGTTACCCGGTGCGATTTTTTTAAAAAATTTTCCTCCCGGATTTCTTTAAAAAATAATTTCAGCCAGCGTGTATACATTTTTTATACCGTCTTGGTTTTAAAAGAAAAATATACCTATTCGGCATTTTAGGGATCGTTTTTCATCGAAAACTTTTCAAATTATTTTATCTCCTAATTTGTCATAAAAGGCGTAAATTTGAATCAATACGTTTACGATTTGACTGGTAGATGGTAATTCCCTTATTTTTTGTTCCTTTTGTAAAATAGTATTTATATAAGTACTAGTCATTTTGTGTTCTCTCCCTGGCAACATACGTTAATCATATGGGACAGAGAAAAGGAGAAATAAAATGATACATCTAAAATAAATTTTTCCCTTAAAAAGTACATTTAGAATATTGATTGTATCTTTGTTTATTTTAATTCTATTGAATATCACCTAAAATAATAATTAGTTGAATAAAATTTTATTAAAAATTTTTTCTAAGAATCGAAAATTAATTTAAATAAAATTTTACTAGTAATATTTTCTAAGAATAGGCAAAAATGGAAATAGGAAATATAAGTGAATTAATGTGATATATTGCTATACGATACAATATTTAAATATATTTCATTTATTTTTAATTTTTATAAATAATAATGGCAATTTAAAATATTCGGCCCGGGAGGTATTTTTTTTAAAGTATGGCCCGGCCCGTGAACTGGTACATTTATTATAGGCATTTGAAATTAAAATCAGCCCTTACACTGCTCTAAAGTATTTAAATATATAAGCAATTATCGGGTATAGGCTTTTTCTTTGCTCAACTCTTTTTATCTCCGCTTATAAATGTTTAAACAATAGTTTTTCGGACTGTTGTGCTTACAAGAACGTGCGGCTTGCCACAAAAGTGTAGAGGGCACCTCATTTTTAATTTTTCATCCAACTTAATTTATTCCAGTTAGATGGAAATGAGGAAACCCTGGGGTAGCTCTGAAGAATCTTTAACATAAGCTGGCGATGAGCTTAATCACGTGTTACGAAAAAAACGAGCATGTCTATTACACACTAATTCTGAAAAATTTATTGTTAAAGTCCAGTAAAAAAATATTAAGCCCAAATTTTTATAAAACAAAATATTAATTATTATTTATTTCTTCTTAGGCGTAAATATTATATTACAATATCTTTTTAGAGCAAATAAATATTAGTTATATTTTTTTCAGTGCAGTTATTTCTTTGTCTTTGTTTAAATTGTATATTCATATAAATTTCTTTGATTTATATTAAATAAAGTATTATAAGCATATTAAAAAATAATTTGCAATGTAACTAGTTACTAACATAGTCAAGATTTGTTCATTTCCGCTGCGGATATTTATTATTTTATTGTCTATTATGTCTCTCTCTTTTTATATGTGGTGATTCTATGTATATGTGATTTCAGAATCGTAAACACCCGCTTTTTAAACAAACTAATTCAGACTATTAAAAGCATTTGCAAAATCTAATTTACAAATCACCGGATCAAAACGGGAAGGGGGCTAAATAAATACATAAGACGTGCAGTGATTTCGACTCATAAAATGTTAATAGTTTCTGGTTTAATCCGCGTTAATAGTATCAAAATCTTAGCAATCTTTCATAAAATATCGATATAGATTGGTATCAAACGCAATTTAAATATCTTGACTGCAATGGTTACATGGAGAGATTATTTACAAAGTTAAAAGGTATTTTAATAAGCTTTTATTTATATCCACACCAATTTTTTTATCATAAAAGTTTTCTAAACCTGCCTGCTTGGTATTATGATTTAAGATTGAACGAAAATATTTTAATCAGATTCTATTTATACACATAGCGATATTTTATACAAAAATTCATAATCTAAACATTCCTAACCCAAATTCATAAATAAATTAAGCGAAACGCCCTTAAAAAACGTTATAAAATAAGATACCCGTTATCATAATTAAAACGTCATTCTGATATATATCATATTCATATTATTATTTTACGGTATCTTATTAAAACAGTGATGGTCCCAGTATAATTACTTAAACCAGGGATTCAAACAGAACATAAACTGTTAAACCATAAGTCATACTGAACCTAAACCCTTAATCGCTAAAAAATTTGTCACTCGAACCTATAAAAAATCTCTTTGAACCTTTTGATATTTTATTTCTTTTAAAGATAATTAATTAATAATAAGTTTTCATTGATAAATCAGTAATTATATTTAAAGATTATTGTTTATTGCTTTGACGGTGTCAACTACCCAAGCTAGCATATAGAAGTGTTCTCAGTCATAAAATTTATTATTACTTCTTGTATATATAATTTGACAGAAGGGAATCCTGAAAATATTTTAAAAGTATACAGATCAATATTATTTTTTAGAGGCGATAAAAATTTAAAAAGTCATTTATGTGGCGATATTATATTTAATGAACTGAAATTTAAAACGTTATTTTTATCTGAACCTAAAGCTGAATAGATATTCGTTAGGGAAGGATCCCCTGCATACAACATACTTGTATAATTTTTTTAAATCGTATAGCTTGTGGAATTTAAAATTCTGTTTAGAAAAATTGTTTCTTTTCTTAAAGGTAAATTTGCTATATGGAATCGAAATTCTTTTTATACCATTTATCCCAAGATTTTTGTCAATAATTAAAGAATAAAAGGAAGCATACTCCGAATCTTTATCACTGTTGGCCTAAACTCATTAACGAATCGGAGCTAATTGTATGCTCCGAGGATATCAAAAGATCCTGGAAAAATAATAAAAGATGATGGACCTTCAATTTATCTGTGGAACGATAATAAAAATATTCTTTATTATTCCCTGTCCCAAACCATACTCTTAGGTTTGAAGACAATTTTTCTAGCTGCCCATTGGTTTAAAGGTTTTCTAGAAGAGCAAACATTTTGATGGTTATTTGTTTGTCTATTTATCCTGTGAATTTTGCCCAAATATCTTGTTGAGTGATTTAGTAATCTAATTATCTGCATAATTTTATTTTAATCTATTTACTACATATAAATCATATGCAAAATTTTGTAATAATTAAATAATTTTTGATAAATATAAGCTCACCCTGCCTTCAAAGATATCAAGTCTAACAAAGTTGAAAAGCCTAATTATTCTTTGAGAAAGCTATTGATACTCTCAGAAACATCGAAGGAATCAGTCCATAAATTATATTTTTATTTTATAATCAATTTTTTGTTAACATATCTAAAATTCTCTATGATCATAAAAAACCAAAAAATTGTTATGTAAGATGAAAATAAAGATTATTAAAAATGATATTGAAATAGAGAAGTGAAGAAAA